ATATAGCAGGTATATTAGCTAGCCTAAAAGGTATTATAAGATATTTAAAATAATTATAATAGGTCCTAAAAGCTATTTTCTACTCGTGTTTTTTATAAATTCTTATCTAATAATATATATTCTTAAGATCTAGCTTTATAAAGATCTTGGCTCCTTAAAGCTAGTTAAGGGTCTTATTAATAAAAGAAAGCGAATACTAATTCTTAATTATAACTTAATTAAGTTTATAATAATTAATATAAAGATATAGCTCTTTATTTTTCTTGAGAATAAAAAGAATAAATACTTTTACTAGGCTTTTACTAGGCCTTATCTAATATTTATAAAATATATCCTATAAATATAAATATAATACTTCTAGTTAGATCTCTAATAAATTATATAAAGGCCTATATAGAACCGTATTATTTATATTAATAAAGTATTTAATATTACTAAAATTAGGAAGTTCTAAAGCTTTATTAGGGTTAAAAACCTCTAAAAAGTCTTTATATTTATTATTTCAGAGATAAATAAGTATCTCTAAAGCTTCTTTCTAGAAAGTATTAATTTACTATATTAAAAACTCCTGTTTAGTATTACTAGAACTATATAATAAAATAGAAATCTAGTAATTATTATAAATATATAAAGCCTATTATCTAGAATAGTTATATTTACCTTTAGTTAAGAATAAAACTTGAGATACTAGCTTAGGATACTAGTTAAGCTTCTTACTAAATTCTTTTAGTATTAGGATCTTAATATTATTAGGCTATATAGGTATATATATCTATTATTTCTTAATATAGTCTATATATTATATAAGAATTACTTTATAAAATTCCATACTAAAAATAAAGCTATAAGAGCTAATATTCTTATATTTATAGAACTAGAGCTTAAAAAAACGCATTTTACTATAATTATTTATAATAAATATTTTAAAATTATAGGCTTAATAGACCTTAAATTAGTTCTTATAAAAGATTATAAATTCTTAATTATATTTAGCTAAAATAATAAAGCCCCGGCTTTAAGCCTAATTATTATTAAGGAAATTATAGTCTAATCTAATATTACTAAGTCTATTATATATTTCCGAAATACTTATTTCTAGCTATATTAATCTTATTTAAATAATTATATAAAGTAATATATCTTTTTTATTATAGCTAAAATTATTAATATTTAAGATTTAGCCTTCTCTTTTCTCTATTTCTTAGGAAAATCTCCTCTAGAGTACTTCTCTATAGTAATAATATTAACTTGCTTTTATAAATATCTTAATTCTTCTATAGTTTTGGCCTTATTAAAGTTCTACTAAGCCTATTTAGTATATTTAAAATATTTCATATTTCCTAAGAAATATCTTTTTTATTTATAAGTTTAATAAACTATACCTAAAATAGAACTAGTACTTTATTAAGGCCTTAAAAGGGCTAAAGTATTATCTAAGGATTTCTTATATAATTTTCGGAATTTATTCTTTCTTTTTTAATAGCCTTATAAATTAGAATTTACTAAGTTAGAGTTCTTAGGAGCAGAATTACTCTTACTAGACTTTCTTGCCTTTATTTTTCTTAATTTAGGATAAGTAGTATATTTTACTTTCTAAGCTTTCTTAAACTATTTAGAAATAAATACTACCTTATTTCCTAAGAAAATAAATATAAGTATCTAATAAGTCTTATAATTAGATAAAATAATATTAAGAGTTTAAACCCGGTTTCTTTTAGAATATAGGTTCTAGTTAATTTCGAGACTAATTATCCGAGTATATAACTCGGTAACTATTTTATTATTTTTCTAATAAAGATCTTAAAGCTTCTTAAAGATATCTTATTAATAGATTTAAAATACTTAAAGTATATTAGCTAAGTAAACCTTAAATTACTTCTAATAAACCTTATATAATAATAGGCTTTACTTTATTATAGCCTCCCAAGTATTATAAGATTTGTTCCTAAGAGTATTTATAATAGAGTTAATTCTAGAAAAGTATTTATTATAAGTCTAAGATTAGGTTCTAAAAACTACTTTTTAGAAAAATATAAAGGTTCTTTATTTCTTAAAAGACTTTCTATAATATAAATCAGGTATCCGGACTTTAAGAAGCTTCTTTTAGTCCAAATATATCTTTAGGATATTATATAATAGCTTTTAATAAATAGTATCTGTGACGGCAGGAACAGAGCAATGGAACGAGGCTCAAAGATTAATGATTTCCAATGTCTTAAGAATTTAAAGCTAAGGAGGACAGGAGTGAGGTGTGGCAGTGGATAAGTAGGTATGGCCAAGACCACTGAAACGCCGAGCTTTGGAAGCGAGCTTGGTTTGAACCATAGCTTGGAACCTTAGCTGAAACCAACCCCTTTGGCTAAAACCACGTCCGTATCAACCATGTGACACCAGCCGTCACAGTATCGAGATTATTCTTAAAGCTTATTATATTAGAAAAGAAAATAGGTTCTAATCCTATTTTAGGAAATTCTCTAATAGGAATTATTAAGGAAAATAGAATAGACTTATAAATAGAGTTTTTATAAGATATAGTAAACTATAAGATATTCCTAAAGATACTCTTATATTACTCTAATTATAGGATATATTAGTTAATTATATTTACTAATTCTTACTTTTATTAAAGCGCTTTAACTTTAGTATATAATCTCTATTTTATAGCTTAGGTAATAATAACTTAGGTATTAATCTCGGTATCTTAATTATTACCGGGATTATTTCTATTATTATTACTAGCTCTCGGAGGCTCCTAAAGGGCCCTATTAAAAGTATTAGATAAGTCTTTACTATTACTTATATTAGAATTAATCTGGTCGACTTTCTCTATAGGAATAGCTCTAGTAAGGAATTATATATTTCGCAGATTTCAAGATATAATTACTTATTAAACTATTTTCTTTAAGGATAAAGAGATTAGCTTATAAGGTATTTATTAGTAGGTAATAAGATAATAGAATAAATTAGTAAGTTATGAAACCATAGTATTAAATTTAGTATAGAACTAATCTCTATCCCTCTTATAAGGTCTAGGGAAGCCCTCTCTAAATAGGAGGCCCTAATAACATATATATAATTAGTAATTTATAAGCCTAATACTTATAATATAAATAGTAGTTAGTTATAATATTAAAGGGCCTTTAATTTCCCTAATTAATACCCGTAATATCCGAGGTTCGTTATATGCCCTTAAGTCACGTGCGACCCTATATATATTATAGTAATTTAGTTCTAAAAATAATAATTTAAAAAAGATTTATATATAAATAAAGTATTTAATAGAAAATTTAAGAGTTTATTAGTTTAATTATAAAATTTAGCTTATATTTATATAATTTCTTTAATTTTTTTAATTTTATATATAAAAAATAAAATAAATAAAAGGCTTTATTATAAGATTATTTAATTATTTAAGTTTTTTAATATATAAATTATATATTTATAAATAAAAATATCTTAAAATATTCTTATTTAATTATTTTTTAATAAAAATGCATTTTTATAAATATATATTTAATAACTTTTAAAATAATAATATATAATAAATATATAATAAAACTAATTATAAATCTGAACTTTCTATTATTATAAAAATAAAAATAAAACTTAATATTTAATAATTTTCTTATTATTATATTAAATTTAAAATAAAATAAAAGATTTATAATATTTTAATTAAAAAATTAAATTTATATATATAAAGAATATATACTTAAATTTTAATCTTTTATATACTATTTATAATTATAATTAAATTTTTTAATTAAAGGATTTCTTTTTAAATAATATATTATTAACTTTATATAAATTTAATTTTTTTGAAAATAAATCTTAAAATTTGTTACGTGACTTAGCGTGTAGCTAGTGCTTTTAGCCCGGCACATAGCCTTTAGCTTAATTTAAGCTCTTTACTACTACTGCAATATTACCTTATTATAACAAAATTTTAAAACTTTTAAAGTATTTAATTTATTTTAAGAGCTATTTTTATAAGGTTTTCGATTTTTAAACTAATATTTATATATGAGTTAATATTAAAATAATATAAAATATAAAATATTATTATTATAATAAAAGTTATTAAAGAATTTATTATATTTGCTAATATTAATAATTTTTAATAAATTTCTATTATAATACCTTAATATATTATAACCTTATATAATATAAATAATAGATTATCTAATAATTAAATTTTAACTTACTTTTTATTAAAATAATTTATAGTTATTTAATAATTAAATATTTAGTCTTAGGGGAAGAAGCTTGCATTTAAGTAGGGTGCATTTAAGCGGGAAATCGAGTAATCGCTTCGTTACGAAGTATAAGGTAGCGTAAACAAGCAATAAGTTGATCCTTATAACAAAAAATCCTAAGATCGAGCTAGGTTAACAATATTTTTACGGGTGGCTTATTAAGATAATAATAGGCATTTCTTGGACAGCCTTGCCTGGCTCTAGCTAGCCGATGGTGACACAAAAGCGCCCTGTATGCACGTCGTTGCCGCTGCGCCACCGCTGCGCCACCGCTGCGCCACGTATTGCATGTCGGTGCCGATGTAGCCCAGGATGAGTGGCTCTATTGCGGATGCGGATGACTACCTAGGGGATGCCTCGGGTATTTTATAAGAAGGCTGTCTCTCGAGTCTATATATCTTGTCAACCACTTTCAAAGCCTCTCAAAACATGCCTAGAGAATGCGATCATTTCTTAGACCCTGCTGAACAAAGACGATGGAGTCTAGATGGATTAAGCTCGTCTTCATCTACCCTTCGGCTTACTCATCACTCATCCAGAAAACCATCGACACCCTTTTCGATTGCTGACCCGCCCCTGCTCTTGATTGAAAGACAGACATTGCCTTCGCTAAAAGCTTTACCTGACCAGTCGAGAGAATCTCGGGCCTCATTCGTGAATGTGCCTTCACCTACGCCTTCGCCAACGGGCCCGCAAGAGGCAGAGATTAGCAATGCCGTGCCACCTTCCAGTCCTGCCTTGCCGATGCGCAAATATGTGAAGCCATCGAAGTCTATCCTCAACTTCTTGGATGTGGCTGCTGTTATCGTCTCGATAACGTGTGCGGGCCTAGCACTTGCTACCATTTCGCCACATCTCCATTATGCTACACAACTTCAGTACACCGGGCAGATCACGATCGTGGGATTCCTCCTCAGTCTCATGAATCAATGTCTACAAAAGGTTGCGCCATTCTTATTCATGCTCATCGAAGCTCGCTTTGGCTCTTCAGGGTTGCAGAATTATGATGGTCTCATGCGATGGTCTCTTTGGGGGGAAAGACTTCGTCCCGCTTGGAGAGTCTCGATTGTCTTCCTATTGGCATTGCCCTTGATATTAAGCGCTGTCTACAAGCAGTTCACCGGCGGTACTGGATGGGTGCAAGTTGCGACCTCTGTAGGATACTATGGGCCTACTGCCCCACAAGGCTTGAAACATGCGGGCGGCCAAACTATCATGGCGAGTGCTGTTCATCCTTACATGGCGGCCTCTCGGCACGACGCGGATTTTCTTGATTTGACCAAGGGCACTCAAGCTTATGGGTACAACATCCTCCTCTTATCCAATACTTCAGCAGCTGCCCTGGACAGCCCGTTGCCCAACCACATTTCCCATCTGCAAAGCCAGTTGACAAACATCGCAACATACTACTTGGAGGCCGCTGTCCGAGGAACTGTGACACATTACAATTCAACAGCGGATTCTCACCGCAGGGACTCTTCGTTCTGGAGAAAGTACTTCCCAGGAGGGCCGGAACTGAGAGCTGCTACAGATATCTGGCCGTGGAACAGGTGGTACTTCGGCTGGCAGATGCTATCGAGCGCCTCGGATAACTCAACATATGCCTGGGATCCTTCGTGGAGCCTCATGGGATACTATACAAGGCCTAAATTTATCATTCAGCCACACGATATAAAGCGAGAGTTTGAGCAAACGGCACGAGGATTCGACACTCATCGACACGCATGCCGTGGTAAGTGGAAGGTCACACGCAACTCGATCGAGCTTTTGTCAGGCAGCTGTGACCCAACGCCGCTTGAGTCGAAATACCAATACCTATCCAATTGCCAGCTGCCGCTCACTCACTACGTCGAGCTTCTTGCCGAGTTTCTGGGTCCCTTTGCGGAGTCGCGCAAGGACTCACCATGGCTCTTGCCCACTTTCAGTGTTGTCACTGCGGCAATGTACTCTTCGCAGGTAGCGGATAGTGAGGGCTTCGTCTGGATACAACCGGATGGCCCGATCTGGCAGGAATGGAATCCTGGTAAAGATCCCGACTTCCGGTACAATGAGACCTACCTCCTTGACGAGAGTCTATTAATGGAAGTCCCTACGATGCGTGCCTCTCCTGGTCTGTGCTTCGTAATTATCTTGCAGCCTATCTTGACCATCATAGCATTTGTTTCAACCCTGTGGCTACGTAACACGCCTATCTGCAGAGATTTTTGCCTTGTGTCCGTTCTGGCTGGAGTTGATAAGGACAGCTTGAAACTCTTGGAGGGTGCTTCATTCTCTGGGAAGCTTGACAGACCCATGAGATTGCAGATTACGGCTCTTGAAGAAACATCAGCCTCAGGAGAAAGACTTCCCCGTCTCGAATATGTGATCGAGGAAAGTGTAGACTAGGACTGGCCAGCTTGGGCTCAACAGGACCGGAAAATCAACAGCTACATCTACACAATATGCCATGCGCTAAAGCTCGGAGCAAAGTACATCAAAACATTACCCTTGACCGCGCCATGTTGAAAATGGCAAAGCTTTATACAACGATTAGCTCAGAAAGTTGGACCGACTTTTAGCAAAGAGAATTTTGGGGGAAGTCGGTTTCGAAGGTTACTGTAAACCCAGGCGGTTCAAGAGGAAATGGCGGGATAAGATGCCGCCTGAGGAGCTCAGGTCATCCGACGAGGAAGCATTCAAGGAAGCGGAACGGCGGGTGCGAAGAAAGTCGGAAAAACTGGATCCACCTTATGGTGGGGAGGAGCGTCTGCCGAGCATAGCAGCCAAGGCTCGGTTTTGGGAGATTGTATCCAGTGCGTCCTTTTTAATTATAGGATCCGTCAATGTAATACATAAGAAAATCCTAGGAAACAAATTGCTCCGTTTGAACAACAGGTGGCCTTACAACGTCCGAAGTTAAACACTAAACAAGCACAGTGCAATGGGATTAGGAGTTCTTTAACATTAGGAGTGCCTGCGCTAGTAGTAAGTGACGGCTGCTGGGAGTGAGGGTTACTGGGAGGTTGAGGATATACTTTTTAAGTCGCGAATTGTAAATAAGCGAGAAAAAATCAAGGTATAATAAAGTCAATTAATGTACGCACGCCAAGGCGTAAAGCCTGGCCAAAAAAGAATTCCTTATTTTACGATTAAAAGTTTAAAATTAGGCCTCTCAAGGAAAGGGAGGCTTGGTAGGTGTCTATTGCACTGTGTTTTGTATTATACAATGGAACGAAGTGCTGGATAAATACTATGTACTGTATACTGTACCCTACTTGCACCGCGTCAACATCATATCCTTGCTAAAACTGCCTAATCTGGAAGTTACAGCATTTGGACAGTATTAAAATCTAAAAGGCTGAAGCCTGGCAAGTATAGGTCTGTAGACGAATTTGTAGTGCTTATAGTCCCTATAATGAGTTGTTGACCTTCGCGCTTGTTGAAATGAAGCTTGAATTGTTGTGTTTTTCTATGGAAGCTCAGCTTCCTTAAAACTCTGGAAATTACGACTCCACTTAAAAGTGGGCCATATGGTGCACAGCCCCTGATTTTCAACAGCGCTCTGTGATGAAAGTGTTTCTAGCCGGGGTAGATGAGGCAGGGATAAAATTCGCAGGAAGGATGTCAGGCATTGTAGTACCAAGAAATGAGTTGGCAAGATGGTGAGCTATGATTCCGAGAAGTAGACATTGACTTCGTAAGTGGCCAAAGATACCTGGAAGTAAAATAAATGTGGATAGGAGGCTAGAGGTGATATCGATATCGAATGGGATGGCTTGGAGTCTGAAAGGTCTTCTGACACAAGACACGACCGGACAGTGGATGGTCCGGGGTATGGGGCACCTGAACCAAGCGCTTTATACTTAATTATGAGAGCCTCTGGCGCTCTCGTCACATTGCACGAGGTGTTTCTAACTGTTGGTACACCTGGTGTCCCGGGAGTCATGTGACGTAGTCATGTGACTCGGAGGCAACGGGACATGAACATGTAACCTCGCGTCACATGCGCGGCTCTTCCTATAGACTAGTCCAAATTAGGCTTAGCAGATTTAGGGAAAGCATATTAATATTATAATACTATAATTCCTACTTCTAGAATTAATTACTTTATTAACTTATATAAATAATATTTTATAATTATATAATAGTATTATATATTACTAGTAAACTAATATTAATTAGTTAATACTTATAAATTAGAAAATAGAATTAATTATACTAAAGAAGTATTTATTAGCCTATAATAAAATTAATTTATTCTATATTAAAAGGGGAAATTATTTATTAATTTTATAAAAAAGTATTTAGTAGTTCAAAGAAAAAAAACTCTAGTTCTTATTAATTAATAAGTAATTAGTTATTTAATTATTTAACTTAATTATTTTTTAAAACTAACTTCTTTTAGCCCTAAAACTATTTTCTTAGTAATTAATTATTATTACAAAGTATAATATTTTGGGCTTGGAAAATAAGGTAAAAGGTCCCTTATAAAAACGATTTAAAGCTAAAAAAGGGAAAACTAGAATATAGGAGGCTATAAGGAAGTATATATATCCTATAGTATACTAGTTCCAAAGGGGCTTAGTTTTCTAAATATCTCTAGTATATTCCAAGTATACTTCTCTAATAAAGCAGCCATATTATATATATCTAGAAGGCATTTAATATCTGGTTAAGTATCTGAATATCTAATAAATTATAATATTATTTCTTCTTTTAGAATAAGCTTATTTTCGAGCTTTATAAAAGCTATTAATTCATTTAATTTCATACTATTCTCTTTCCTAAAATGAACTAGTATCTCGGATATAAATATTATATATAAAAGGCAAGTGCCTTTAATATATAACTTAGAAGAATTTATTATTATTTCTATATAGTTCTGGATAAGTATTATTTTTTATATAGTCTAGCTAGTATTACAGATTTTATAGAGATTCTGGTATATTAATATTATTATTATAGAAGCTCTATAAAACCAGGGGGCTATTATTTAGTACTAAAGCTAGATACTATACTAGATTCTTATTTCAACTAACTTACTAGATTCTATACTTTAGCTTATTTTTTACTAGCTTAATTATAATAACCCGTTTAATACTATATTCTTATTTGCTATTTTCTAGTATTAATAGAAATAGTTCCGGATTTGCTTAACCTAGTAAAGAATTCTAAGAATTCTTTTATAGCTTCTCTATATAAAAAACTAGATATATTTTTATAATTTCCGGTAGCTTTAGAAAAAACAAGTAATTATACCATTCTAGAATCTCAAATAGGCTTTCTATTTAAGTTCCCTAACTTCTGGCTCGGATAATCGGATTTCTAGTACTTTATAGTAACCTATACTTTATTCCTGACTTTAAAATCAATTAGATAGTAGTATTTATTAGTTTATATTATATATTATTCCTATACTTGCTCTATATAACCTTAAATAAATTACTATAATTTATATAATTAATTTACTAATACTTTAGCTTTATTTCTATTTAGCTTCTTTTTAGATAAACTAACTTTAATAGAAGAGTTCTAATCCAGAAAAATATAAGGCTTATAGCTCTTTTTAGTTATAAATAGGAACTAGCTAATAGCTTTATACTAAAGAAAGACTTATTAATAATTAATTATAATAACCTATTTATTTCAGTTATTCTAATAGTAGTTAATATATAGATATAATCTCTAATTAAAATACTAATTAATAATTTCCGTTTATTTATCTATTTAAGAGTAATTAGCTATTAAGAACTTAAGCTTAATACTCATTCTCGTATAGAATTCGCTTTAAAAATCGGATATAAATTAGGGTTCCTAATTTAATATAATTATTTCTGAAATACATATTTAGTATATTATATAAAGTAAAAATAGAGATACTAGTTATTTGGCTATAATTATATCTTATATAAGAATTATAATTAGGTATTTGGATAAGTAATCTATAAATATAATAATTATATTATAGCCCGATTTGCTTTCTAGATAGCTTTTAAAATTTATAGTAATATATTACTTTTATAAAAAGTATTTGAATTGCCTTTAAATAAGATAAATAATTACTATACTTATATTACTTATAATCGTGAAATAGCAAATATAATAATCTAGGGATGTTATTAATTACTTTAATTAGCCTCGAAGACTCGATGCCTTTCAGAAAGTACTTGGGTAAGTTATGCCATAGAGACTGAATCTAAAGCTTGCTGGTCCTTATGGCAGAGTCTCTAGTAGAAGACTGCTTATTAAACTCTCGGCTGTCAATCAATTCTCGCTGTTATGATCCTCCGTCATCCATCCGGTGTTCTGTACAGCCGCCCATCGACTACTCCAAATTGTCCGAAGACTTTTGAATATCACAAGCATAGAGTAGCACTCTATGCTCTAATGATCCATCAAAGAGCAGCTCTTTTCTTTCTTTTATGTTGTAGCATTTTATGGAGGACTCGCATTGCGTTGACAACCTGCACCAAAAAAACTTAATTGTCTGAATTACATGCGAGCAACGTTAATCCGAGGAATCATGGCATGCGATTGTGTGTCTGATAACAAAATGACAATACCATTACCCGCACCACATTGGACTAGTACTCGCTGAACAAATTGAGAGATGGTTGACTACCATTTCATTGTTTCCTCTGGTTCGGTATCTCCTGTGGGTAGTTGCCAACGTGATAACATAGTGTGGTTTGGTTTTGGTTTCAACACGTTATCCTACGCCGGGTTTTTTAGTGTAGGCTACTGTGTAGCATGCTGGTTGGCGATCGTTGTCTCGGATAAGCTCCGCTGGTGGCCGTTGAGTCATGAGATTCCAACTGCACATTGCGCAGTTCATCGACAAATGGAATGCACCCTCATGGCCTTGTGAGGCCATTCCAAAAAGCTATTCAGTCAATCCTGAAACCCCATCAACTCAATACCGTGACGGAACCCAGGTCCTCTCATGTTCTTGATATTCAAACACCAGACAAGCTCACGCTCATAATGAAATTGTCGAAAGTAAGATTTCAAGACCCACTGCGCGTAGGTCGTCACTTGAGGGCCGAAAGTTCCATGCTCGATTTTGTGACAGTATTCGATAGATTGACAGAGATAACGGGCCAGCTTGTGGGCTTCGTCTTTGACTGAAGACATCGTAGGAAACCTCGAGTTCAAACGAGATTCCGGCCCCCTAAGATCCCCAGACTTTGACTGGTCAAATGCCGATGAAGGGGCAGAGCTGCCGAAAAAGTGTTGATAGAGATCTATCATACTGCACAAAACCTGTAATATTATTGCCCACCAGAGGACCACTTGACCCGCGGTTTCCAAGGATTTAAATTGGAGAGCAAAAGGGAACAATTTGTTATTGTAGGGGTCATCTGCTGGGTTCTCCACACCTGATGGCATGGCCCAATATAGCGGTGTTCCGGTTTTAGCTCTATATTTCTGGTGACGATCATGGAGCTTCTCGAGTACGGCAAAGGAGGCCTTGAAAGGGCTTGCATTCCATTGCTCGGGCATTACATTGCGACTAGCAGTGAGTATGTCCGATTCTTCAAGAAGGGCAGGTACTTCGCAAGCAACGTCAATCAGTTCGTGAAATGAATCGTGTTCGCTGCTCATAGACATGAGTTGGCTGAGCTGGTGACAATGGTAGATTGTCATCGATCTAGTACGACGGTCTGAAAGGGCTTCCATCAGCTATAAACCTGGTCAGCGTGGAAACCTTAAAAAGAAATCGGCAGATGTACAAGGAGGACTCGAATACGTGTGCAGAAGCTCCGGCAGATTGGCGTGGGAGAGTTCATGCCACTTCGAATACGCAAGATTTCTGATATGCCCTGAGCATGAGCACGCCAGGCATGATCTGTAGAGCAAACGAATAGCTAATCTTGGTGAGTTTTGTGTACAAAAATGATTGGCACGAGAGAAATACTTCGGAAGTGGAAAGCACAGAAATAGCAGCTAAAATCTCGTTACTTTGTCCGGCGCCAAAATCTTCAATTTCCACAAGCAGCTTTTGAAGGGCTTCGTTATAGACTTGTAATGCCTCGTCAACACAAGCGCTGCCCATTTTTGTGACAGCGACTTGTACCACACAGAATGTGAGGAGAGAATGGTCGAGAGCATGACTTTCTCCCTCAAGTTCACAAACAGTTGGAAGCCAGGAGTATAGAGACGATTCTCTTATGCTGGCTAGGCTCGGCTGAGGTAGGTATAGCTTCTTCAAGAGTTCCAAGGCTTGGAGTCGAAATTGTGTCCGCGAACCCTCTAGCTCCCGAATTTGCGATTTGAGCGCCTGCAGATCCTCATCAAAACTCCTAGGAACATGGGTGTTAAGGCTGTTCCGGCTTAGCACCGTTGAGAGATTCCCAGGAGTTCGGTTCACAAATATTGTATCGCGTTCGTAGCCCTTGCAATCAATTTCGGCCTTCTCACATCTTAAACACATTGGTTTTCGGTAATCACACTACAGCGGAGGTTAGTACGAGTAGAAGATATGGAGTACCCGTATCTCACTTTGACTCTACGTCTTTTGCAGTCGTGACAAGCCCGGGATTTCTCTACTTCCCCAACCTTTGGGTGAAGATCGAACGGTCAGCAATGACACATGCATCGTTGAGTTGAAAAATATAGAATGGACTGGAACTCGGAGTCTAGCTACCATGATGTTTGGAGTCGTGATGTGAGGTTTAGAATTTAGAAATCGAATGTTGACCACAGTACTTGCAAGATTGTCGTAGTTTGACGTCGCAGTTCACAGAGGTTGAAAAATTGCTGACGGGCATTGGACCCCGATCCTAATTTGGAACCATTTTGCGACGCAAGGACAAGGTTCGCAAGGATGCATGGAGCCGGAAGGATTTTTTTTTTTTTTGGAGGATGGGAAGCGAGGGGGCAAGCCGCAATATTCGCCAAGCGGCTCGCGAGATCCGCCCCAGTCTCGGGCTTATCAGTATCTCCGCAGCTTCCGATATTTGTAATCCCGAGATAGAGTGAGTCCATCGGAATTACGGCTAGCTGTGTCCATCTAACTTACTCGAGAAAACTTCCGCGAGCATGTCGCCAGGGATTCTTTCATCTGTCATCTTTGCATATCCATCAACCCAAAGAGTTCCGCTATGATTCCCTAATGTCTACTGCTGTATGTGTATATATAGAGGTCGTTTCTTTTCTCTGAGGACAGAATGCAAAGTTTGTAGATTTTACTCTCTCCTTATTCATTCTATTGATTGTGGCGTTGCTGTTTTCATGTCTATGTACCATGGACTATTCGTCTGAAACCACACTCCATCGTGATCCCAATCTCCCCATGGTTCAATCAGAGTACTCACTTGTGGATATTGCGAAAGATTCCATACCCAAGCGAGAACCAGAACCAGAACCAGAGCCAGAACCGCGACCAGAGCTCGGGACAAAATTGAAAACAGAATTGACTAGACCCAATCCCGATGACTTCCCCGATGGTGGGTTTCAAGCTTGGTCGGTGGTTGTGGGAGGATTCTGTGCTGTATTCTGTAGTTTTGGCTGGATCAATTGTGAGTACCGGTCTAGATCTCAAAGCAGCACGAGTGGCTAACATCACAAAGGTATTGGCGTCTTCCAGAATTATTATGAGAAAAATCAGTTGAAACAATACTCCTCGAGTACTATTGCCTGGATCCCTTCAACCCAGTCGTTCATGTTATTCGCCCCAGTATGTCGAGCAAAAGTGTTTCGACTCTTTCATGATATTGACTCTTCACTTCTAGGGTTTTATTGCTGGAAAAATGGCAGACGAACTTGGACCACAGATTCCTATCTTGCTTGGCTCTTTTCTGCACATCTTTGGGTTAATGATGACTTCGATTTCGACAGAATACTACCAGTTTTTTCTTGCACAAAGTGTATGCAGTGGACTTGGATGCTGCTTTCTCTTCTACCCGGGTACGTCCGTCTCTAGCCCATACTAGAGAATCCTGTCTTACATTCGCTTTAGTTATTGCGGCTTGTGGCACTTGGTTCCTTAGACATCGCGCCCTTGCGTTTGGCGTCATGCTCTCTGGATCGAGCATTGGTGGCGTTGTGCTGCCTATCATGGTTCAGCACTTAATACCCAAAATTGGCTTTGGGTGGACGATGCGAGCCGTCGCGTTCCTGTTCCTGGGTCTCCTTATTATTGCCAATCTTACCATCAAATCCCACCTTCCGCCGGCTCGTCGACCATTCCACTTCATGGAATTGGTGAGGCCTTTCATGGAAAGGCCTTTCCTACTACTCGCACTTGCGGCTTTCTTCATCTACTTGGGCGGATTCCTTCCTTTCAATTTCCTCATCGTCCAAGGAGAAGCGTCGGGGATGTCAACAAATTTGGCGAGCTACTTGGTCCCAATACTGAACGGGGTATCGTGAGTGCTGCCACAGAGTCAAATCAAATCTTAATCGTACTAACACGCGGAATAGGACATTGGGTCGCATTCTCCCGGCTCATGCCGGCGATACTTTCGGTGTCTTCAACGTCATGATTGTCCTCTCAGCATTTGGTGCAATCATGACTCTCGCCCTCTGGTTACCCGCGGCTTCAAATGCTCCCATCATCATGTATGCGATTATGTATGGATTTGCATCTGGCTGTACACTATCAATTATTCCCGCCATGGTGGCCAAGCTCGGACATATTAGCCAGTTGGGTGCCCGAAGTGGTGCTTTATATGCGTTCTCGTCTATTGGTGTACTTATCGGAAGTCCCATCGGAGGAGCGATACAGAATGATCAGCATGGTGGATACTCGGGACTCATTATTTTCACGGGCGTTGCATTACTGTTTGGGACTATTTTCGCTGTCCTTTCGAGAGCCGTCCAGGTCGGTTTTAAGATTAAGGTCAAGATCTAGATGCAACATTTTCCATTTCAATATGTGTTGTGCAGACCACAAAGAAGGAGCACTTGGAGGCCAGGGATTCGGATTCGTTAATTACTAGAAATGGATTACAAATGCGATACGACATCATGCGGCCAATGGTAATGATATGGTACACAGACAGTGTGTCAAATAATTTAATTAATTATAATTATTGGCCGGTAATCAAATTAAATTAAGTCAGAATCGTAGTAATCAAATTATAATTAGTTATTTGCTTAATTTAATTAAATATAATTAATTACTGGGTCACGTGTTACTATATATAACTATAAAGATAATATAAGTATTATAACGCAAAAGTAAAGCGTATTTTACCCTAATTTAGATATCGCCTTACTATTATAGGCTTAATAGCTAGTATCCCGCCTTTACTCGCTTTACTTATCTTTGTAAATAAGTACTATAAGAAGGGTTTTGACTTCTCTAGTCACGTGGGTGCGGTCATGTGATATCCGGAGCAAATAATTCACATATATATTACCTTGCTTTCCTTCTCTCTTCTTTGGAAATCAATTAACCTTTACTCTCTTTATGCTTTAGTCGTATATTATTTAAAGAAAAAGAAGAGAATTTATTACTTATATAACTTTTATATGGGTTTCACGTGATAATTAGAAATAATTAATTATATTTAATTATAATTTTTCTAATAATTAATTTTTTTTGAAAGTCGATAATCAAATTATAATTAATTATTTACTTGATTTAATTAAATACAATTAATTACCTTGATTATTTTTTTGATACACTGTACACAGAGAAGGGCTTAAAAGCTAGGCAAAACGCTCACTAGATGGGCGTATCTAGCTCCGAAGTTGGGATGTCAAATCCAGAATCCAAACGCCGCGTGTAATCTTACAAACGGTATGGAGAGGTCAATGGCGAGATGTCTCTTCAGTTCCACTCCTAGTCATACTTCTTAGGGGTGTCCTTAATAAACTGAACGCCCCGGTCGATCGTTTGAAATAATCCAGTTGCCAAGCGCTGAAATGACCTGCATATAGTTTGCGCCTTGCCTCAGTTCTTCCCGGCTAGCGCCCAGTTCACATATATCATCGACCAGAACCGCAAGAAGCTTTAAAACATTCCCTGGCAAAAGGCGCTTTGAGGAGGCAGCGCGAAATCGGAAAGCAGCAATTGGACGACCAAGACGGGTGAGCTTGAATTCAGCACGCTTAACGTTTGGGCTGGGAGGGAAGAAGTCTCGAAATACTTCCAGGGAATTGCTGGGATTTATCATCTCCCGCGAGAAGAGATCAGAACAAAGTACTGACTGCCGCTGAAGATCGCGGCTGGAAAACAAACCATTGGAACATAGCAGTTTCTCTTACAAGGGCTCTTTTGGTTTGGTGCCAAGGACGAGCAGGAAAGGTGACAAAATTGCCATCCTGTTCGGCGCAAAGGTGCCATATGTTTTGCGTTCAGATGGCGAGTTCCGGTACTACAATCTTGTTGGGAGCTGCTATGTGGAGGGAATTATGAACGGCGAAATTGCTAGACTGGCAAGAAGCGACACGAAAACTCATCGAGCACATTCGCATTAGGTAATATATATAGTTACAAGATTGAGAAGATCGTTCAATTTAAAAGAGGATTTATTGAGACAGGCTATGGTGGGTAAATACAGAGGTGCTAATCATCAACATGATCATTTAAGGGGGACATCAGTAAACGATGACCTTCAAATCTTTCTAGAACCTTACAGTCTTTCTAAATGTATAAATTTGAAAGTGCAATTGGATAGGAAAACATTCGAATTGGTAGCAATTACTTATCTAGTTTGCCTCAGAATATAAAAAACGGCGCCCCCTTTTCTGTCCGTTATACAGGTGTTCGTGCATGACAAAGGGGAGGAAATACAACAAGCGAGATGAAGCGAGACCTTTCCAGGGGCTATCACGTGGCAGCCTGTGCTTAGAAGACCGTTCAAACCGACAGAACGATCAACGAAGCACTACAGTGGTCTCGTGTATTATGAAAGAGCTACCTCAGAGGAGATTTATCTTCGATAGTTATAGTGAGGTGAGACCTCACGTCACGTGCACCTTCTTGTACCCCCCATGCACATAGGAGGCTCCCCATTCGACCACTCGGCAGCTAAACATAATGTGAAAACGTTTCCAATTCATCCAAACTCGGATGAAACACTCCCCGAGTCACATCGTCGAATGCGGGCGGCTCCTCTTATGCACGCCTCTTGAACCTGCATCTGTCTGGACTTACCCGCCGCCACATCGCCGCTGCTCTGGGTGGGATGCAGGAGCATTCGAGAACTCGGCGATTTCTAGTTCAGTTCTTCTGGCCTTCCCTCAGAGCAGCTGCCTGTCTGAACCATGCGCTTGACCGTTCGGCGATTCTACAGTAAGAGTTTCACCGTGGAGCCAGCAGTGGTGGACTTGCTCGGTCTCAGACTCTCAGCTTCCCCCGCACCCCTCGCGCCCCTCGCACCGCTCCGCAAAACCCCACACGCCTCACTCAGGTCAGGTCAGCGGCCGTGTCCCGCTCCCGTTCTGCCTGTCCCGCCCTTCGCACTCGCACGCGCACCCCACGAATGGAAGAGGAAGCTGCAGCTGAAAGCAGGCGCGGCGACCCTTGGCAAAAGGCTCAAACACGCCGCCGCCGGCTCTACTAATCTAATCAAATGCGCGACTTTACTGTGTACACATTCACTCACTGCTTGCACTCGTCCCATCGGTGTGCAACCGTGACCTTTCCCTACATTTTGGACCCCGAGCAGCGAGGTGAACTGACTGACTGACTGACTGACTGGCCTCGTCCTCGACGCGAGCCTCGATTGTTTGGCCGATGCTCGCACTCCCTCGCGGCTCCACGGCGTCGACTGCGAGGACCACACGCCTGTTTCGACCATGATAAACTCGTCGACAATGCGGCCGACACTAGGCCAGTGTCGAGCTGGCATACATTCTGCTGCTCGTCTGTCACGGCGCTCCAACCTTGGGCTTCTAGGTATGTCAGCAAGCCGAGAGAAGGTCCAGGTACTATTATCTAATACCATTATCTAACTGTGCTCCCTCCAGCTCGTCACGTTCGACCGCTCTACCGTCCGTCGCAGAAGTGGAATGAGCAGCGAAAGGAGCTCCGTCCACGCGTCTCGAGGATCCTCCCAGCAAGACACGAAAGCGACACTGCAGCTCCTCCCGATTACGTCCCTCCTGTAACTTCGATTCCCTACGCAGACCTTACAATTGGAGTCGTCCGCGAGACCTACCCCAACGAGCGGCGCGTAGCCATTACCCCACAAAATGCCTCGTTGTTGCTCAAGAAGGGCTTCAAGCGCGTCCTGGTCCAGCGCGGTGCAGGCGCTGAAGCACAATTCACCGACAAGGCCTACGAGGCGGCAGGCGTGACACTGGGAGAGAGCAAGACCATCTGGTCTGAAAGCGACATCCTGCTCAAGGTCAGGGCACCCAGTTTCGATGGCCAGATGAGCGAGGTTGATCAATTGAAACCTGGGTCGACGATTATATCGTTTGTGTATCCGGCGCAGAACAAGAAGGTGGTGGAGAAATTGGCGAACAGTGGGACCACCAGCTTTGCTATGGATATGATTCCTAGAATCTCGAGGGCTCAGGTGTTTGATGCACTGAGGTAGGTTTCGGCTGTTCAGCATGTGAAAGAGGGGACTGATCACGTGACATGCAGCTCAATGGCCAATATCGCGGGGTACAGAGCTGTTCTGGAGGCGTCTAATCATTTTGGGAGGTTTATGACTGGGCAAGTAACTGCAGCTGGGTAAGTTTTCCAAATCAGAGAGTAGAATCGCGCTAATAATGCTTCACAGCAAGGTAAACAGTTCACTAACTTAATCTTTTCCATCTCTCACACGTATTCAGATCCCGCCATGTAAAGTTCTCGTCATTGGAGCTGGCGTTGCAGGGTTGAGTGCAATTGCAACAGTAGGTACTTCCTCCAAGTCCCCCTAAATCATTTGTGAACATCCATAGGCAAAACGCTTGGGAGCCATTGTCAGAGGCTTTGATACCCGACCAGCAGCTCGAGAACAAGTACAGTCACTTGGGGCCGAATTCATTGAAGTAGAAATCGAAGAAGACGGCTCGGGAGCTGGAGGATATGCAAAGGAGATGTCAAAAGAATTCATCGAAGCCGAAATGAAACTCTTTTTGGAGCAGTGCCGCGAAGTAGACATTGTAATCACTACAGCGCTGATCCCAGGGAGACCTGCCCCGAAGCTGATCACGGAAGAGGTAAGCTTGAATGAATGTATTCTGCCTGTTGTCATCTGATCGTAGTTCCCAGATGCTTGCTGCCATGAAAACTGGAAGCGTGGTCGTTGATCTTGCTGCTGAGAACGGTGGGAACTGCGTGGCTACAGTACCAGGACAGTTGGTTGAGCACAATGGTGTTACTGTTATTGGTTTGTCTAGTTCTAGCTACCTTTCAGATCCGCCTAATCATAATCCAGGATACACTGACCTCCCATCACGACTTCCGACCCAGTCTTCAACACTGTATTCGAACAACATCACCAAATTCCTCCTTTCAATGGCACCAGAAGAGAAAAACTTCGGAGTTGACTTGAAAGATGAGGTTATTCGAGGCTCGATCGTCACCTACAAAGGAGACATTGTGCCAACAGCTCCACGGCCAGCTCCTCCACCACCACGCCCCGTCAACCCTGCACACGATACCAAGGCTCCTGAAGTTGTTGCTGTTACGCCATGGCAGAAGACCACACGAGAAGTGGCCACAGTGACAGGTGGAATGGGACTTGCTCTTGCGTTGGGTAAAGCCACAGGACCAATTTTTATGGGCAACTTCTTCACATTCGCGCTGGCGGGTCTCATCGGATACCGCACTGTCTGGGGTGTAGTCCCTGCTCTGCATTCGCCGCTCATGAGTGTCACCAATGCCATTTCTGGTGAGAATACCTTTTCCGTGAGTTGGGCCAAGACTAACTGAATCTTTAGGAATGGTCGGTGTTGGAGGTTTCTTCATCATGGGTGGCGGTATTCTCCCGCATACTATCCCCCAAGTCCTTGGAGCTCTGTCAGTCCTGTTGGCCTTCGTAAACGTTTCGGGAGGATTCGTCATTACGAAGCGAATGTTGGATATGTTCAAGCGTGAGTTGCGGCGGAATCCTTGAATGACTTCTCTGACATTGACAGGCCCAACTGATCCACCTGAGTATCCATGGCTGTATGCTGTTCCTGGTGTTCTCTTCACCGGAGGATACATTGCCGCCGCAAGCACTGGTATGGCTGGTCTTGTTCAAGCCGGATACCTCGCAAGCTCTCTTCTTTGCATTGGCTCTCTGTCCGGCCTAGCTTCTCAAGCTACCGCTCGTCAGGGAAACATCCTCGGCATATTAGGTGTCAGCTCTGGTATTCTTGCATCTTTGGCTGCTGTTGGGTTTCCTCCTGCGGTTTTGGCTCAATTTGGAGGAGTCGCTGGCATTGGGGCTATTATTGGTGGGCAATGTGATCACAATTTGCCTGGCAGCAACTAACACATTTAGGTCTGATCATTGGTCGTAGAACAACTGCAACTGATTTGCCTCAGACAGTGGCCGCACTGCATTCAGTCGTCGGTCTAGCAGCCGTCTTGACCAGTTTCGGTAGTGTGATGGCACATATTGGGGGAGCAGATATCTCCACCTTGCATATGGTAGCCGGATACCTGGGCGTCCTGATTGGTAAGCTCCTGTTCCGTCCTTCTAGAAGCTTTGCTCATTCGTTTAGGCGGTGTAACCTTCACCGGCTCGGTTGTGGCTTTCCTCAAGCTTGCAGGTCGCATGTCCTCAAAGCCAATCAGAATCCCTGGCCCACGACACTTCCTCAATTCTTCCCTTCTTGGCCTTAATGTTGCTACCATGGGCACCTTCCTCGCAATGGCACCTGGATCACCAATCATTGCTGCTGCATGTCTTTCTGGAAATGCCATCCTCAGTTTCTTGAAAGGTTATACTACCACTGCCGCTATCGGTGGCGCTGACATGCGTGCGTCCTCTTTACCCCCTCTTTAAGAGTCGGCTGACACACTCTAGCCGTCGTTATCACCGTCCTCAATGCATACTCTGGATTCGCTCTCGTCGCTGAGGGTTTCATGCTCGACAACCCGCTCCTCACCACCGTAGGCGCCCTCATCGGTGTCTCCGGTTCCATTCTCTCGTACATCATGTGCGTCGCCATGAATCGCGGCCTAACAAACGTCCTCTTCGGCGGTATAGCACCGACCGATAACAGCGAATACAAGATCGAGGGACAGATCACAAAGACCACGGTCGACGAAACAGCTGATGCTCTGGCCACAGCCGAGAGCGTGATAATTGTGGTGGGTTACGGCATGGCAGTTGCAAAAGCCCAGTACGCAATTAGTGATATCACGAGGATGCTGAAGCATAAGGGTGTCAATGTTCGCTTTGCTATTCATCCTGTTGCAGGACGTATGCCTGGACAATGCAATGTGCTACTCGCAGAAGCCAGCGTGCCATATGATAGTAAGTCCGCCCCGCCTCAACCCCCGCTCACACAATCTTTCCTTTGAAATTCCCCCCCTAACCCTCGCAGTTGTCCTCGAAATGGACGAGATCAACGACGACTTCTCCGACACCGACGTAACCCTCGTCATCGGCGCCAACGACACCGTGAACCCGATCGCCCTGGAGCCCGGCTCCTCCATCGCCGGCATGCCCGTGCTGCACGCGTGGAAGAGCAAGCAGGTTATCGTCATGAAGCGCGGTATGTCGAGTGGGTATGCGGACGTCCCGAACCCGATGTTCTATATGCCCGGCACCAAGATGCTGTTTGGGGATGCGAAGGATAGCTGTGATGCTATCAAAGGGGCGTTGGAAGCGAGGGGGAAGATGTATGATGTTTGAGCGTCCGTGGAGGGAGGAGAATGAATGAATGAGAGACGAAGTCTGGATGGATATGAGGTTGGATCGGGACTGGATTCGGGTATTGCAGGAAGTTTCTCGCTGTAAAAATTCCTAGTTCTGCATTGGCATTCGCGTTTCTGCATTTTACCTATCCGGCATCGAGCATGGGCTCCGCGTGCATAGATCGTGGTTTGCGCCGCGCTTGCATTTCTGATCCTTCCATTACTTCTGGGGATAAGGGTAGAATTGATTGTCCTTTCTCTAACTTCCTCTCCATCCCTTTTTCCAAGAGCGTCTTAAGTGATGATTAATTATTCGCTGCCTGATTGATCGTTGACAGGAACAGAGGCAGAGGCAGAAGCTTCAGGGTTGCAGGCTTTCAAAGCCTTCTCCTTCACCTTCCGCTTCACCTTCTTCTCTCGATTCCTCCGCGTCCGTTTTTCCCGCTCAGCCTCCTCTTTGCCTTCCCTCTCCTTCCTCTTCGCCTCTTCCCGCGCCTCTATCTTCCTTTTCCGCTCCCGCAGAATCACGCGTCGTTTCTTGCCTGGCTTCCTCCTCCTCTCACTTGCCCCATCCGCAGATTGTGCAGTGACTATACCTCTCACCTCCACCTTCTGTCCCAAAGCCGACAGAGATGTACCCCGCAAAATCCTCACCCTCCACGGGACCTCGAGCCCCCAATTCCTCCTCTTCATTCCTTGCAAAACATCTTCTCCAGATAGAGCTGCGAATTGAAATTGAGCCCGCGCTTCGCCTTCTGCTTTTGCTGCAATGTAGAATGCCCTGTCTCGTTCTCGACGAATGAACCCGCATTCCCCGAGCTCCGAGGCTTCGTCGTCTAGTACGATCTTCTGTGTCCGTGGCGCGGAGGCGGAGGGCCCCGAGAACAGGCGGAATTCGAAGGCGTGCTCTTCTTCGTCCTTATCTCCACCTTCCTGCGCTGGGTCTGCGTCTGCGTCTGCATGATCTCGAACCCCGTTCGGCGCGTGCGGAGATGCGGCTGCTTTGTGCTTGGGGGGAGGATTCGCAGGATTCGAAGGGGCGGAGGGGGCAGGAAGGGTGTCGAGGGGGCCGTAGAGAGCGGCTAGTCGGGCTTGCAGCAGGGTGGTGGAGGCGGGGTCTGCTGCTTCTGGTTCGGGGGTTGAGGATTGGGAGTGTGAGAAGAGCTCGGAGCGGCGGACGCTGGAGGGTGTTTAGCTTGGTGGTGTGTGGGTGAAGAGGGAGGGACGGGGGGAGGAAGGGAAGGCAAAGAGGGGGGTACCGTTTTGCGTTGGGGAGGTCGAAATCCATCCTCTCTCTCTTCGTTGCTATCTGGATATCGCGAACGAAGCTGAAAGGATCTTGATGGGGGCTGAAGGATTGCGTTTGCAGGTTCCAAGGCTAAAAGAAGGACAAATATGCGGAGCTGGGCCTAGAGTTGGGGTCCCGATAATCTGGTGTGGATGGGCGAGGCTGCGGAGCTGGAGCTGGTTGTCGTCGAGATTGAAGGGAATGGGGTCGGCGAGGCTGAAGGAACCGTTGTGGGGGCCGGGATAAAAATTATGTTCGCCGGTTCGGCTTCTCGGCGCAAGTCTCTGTGGTTGGTCGGTCAGACTCCCAAGGAAAGATTGGAATCTGAAACAACCTTCTTCACAAAATAGCTTACTTCCGTTCTTTAGTACATTAATTCTGTGGCCACTTACTTATATCTCATCTCCACGACGTCGATGAATCCAATTAGCACTGCATTCATAGCGTGATAAATCAGAACCCTTTTGGTTAAAGTAAAGCAGCTCTCAATCAAGCTGTTTGTCAAATTACAAGTTTGATTCACAATGCATTATTACGCAGTTCCATACGATATAATCTGCCAAGAAATCTCATATTTGTTTTTAACCTCTTTCGACAACACCACTCGGATTCTGCATCCCAAAATCATTTACTGAAAACCCGTGTCAGTACTAAGTCTCGACCAAGTGAGGTCTCATTAAGGGGATAGAACACTCGGATCAACACTAAGTCGAGCACTCCATCAAGAATTATCACACGGCACAGAGAAAAGCACAACCCTCATGCCGGCACTAGGGGACCAACTTTACGAAGCCCTTTCAAGAAGAGAAGCTACCGTTCCCGTGGCAGTCGCAGTCGGGGTGCCAATTTCCATTGTTGGAATCATCCTCACTATGGCAGGATTGTGCTATAGGCGGAGATGAAAGACTCTGTTCACCGTCGTTCCCGAGCCGAATGCCGGAAAATGAGTGACACGGTGGATCTACGCCTTATGATTGCGTCCTCCCGGTAACTTCCACCAACCAAGCAGTTCCGAATCCCGATAAGAAGGTCAAATCCTTACCGTGGGGTCACCATCACCACCGCATCCGGCCTAAAGAGTTTTATCAATAGTGATAGCGCATGGGATAGATAAATAGACCTTGGGAAAATAAACTCGAAGTGTTCAAGCCCGATCCCCCTTTTTTTTGGACTTGGAATATATACAAGGCCAGTGATTATCCCTTTGTCTCATTGAAAAATGATAAACCGCGAAAACATTTACGCATGGTGAATCTCCCCTCATGCTGAAAGCAGCCCAAAATGGCGTTTTCGACCCCCCCCCTCTCCCCAACCCCCAAATTTCCTTTCCGAAATATACAATTCAACAAAGATTACGCTTAATATCGGGATTCTGATTGCTTGTCTCTGGTTGTAGTGGCCGGGGTTAAGAAGCTATGTCCACCCATTCATTCGGCTACCGAGTGCAAAAAGAAGAAATTGGTGGTTGGGGGCCGGATGCATGTAGCCGGAAGGATTATTTTCTTTGGAGAATGGGAAGAGAGGCGAGGGGGGGGGGGGGGGGGGGGGGGGGGGGGGGGGGGGGGGGCAAGCCGCAATATCGATTTCCTGGGATGGGGGGTCACGGGGGTGTGTGGGGAAATTTCTTCATTGCTTTCGTGGGAATTGGGTGGCGAAAAATGGGGGGCATTGCGAGATTGGGTTTTTGATGAGGGTTTTTATGCTATGAAGGATAAAATGATTACTTGTTGATAGCGAGGAGCTCACCAGATTTGGAGGTCTTGCTTTTGAAATGCGGGGTGAGGTTTGGAGGGGTTGAAACCGGGAGAAAACCGGGTCTGCAAATCCTCTGATGCGAGGATTAAATGACATCTCTTCTTGAAACACTACTAGCAGAAATTCAGTGACCCAGCCCCAATTTCGATCGGTTTCTGCTTGAAACCACGCAATTTTTGGAGGAAAATGTGGCTGGGGTGATCTCCTGGGGATTGTCCGTTTTGAAAGCCGACGAGTCATCAAAGGCATGAAAATCGCAAGCGTTCTCAGGGAAAAGGGGGCATTCGCCACGAACATAAGACGGACCAATGAACAACGCGACCAATAGATAAGGTTTCCGCGCAGAAAACGGGAGGAAGGGGATGGTTGTCGAGTTTGATGGAGGGCTTATGCCATGCGAAATAATTGCGGGTATTATTAGGGGACGAGGGGAAATAGCAGAATATCGCCGAGGAAGGCCAATCGCGTGGTGAGATTTTAGCCGTTGAAACTGGTAGAAAACCGGTTGCGCGTGAAAAGGGGGGTTTGGATTCAAGATGCGAATAGTAGAGATTTTGGGCTTCCAGTAACAAAAATCAGGAATTGGAGTGGGGGAACTGATCTGATTCGATGGAGTCTACCCTTTACGGGAAATGGGCCTTTTGCTTCCCATGATTCCGAAGAAAAGGAAGGATATTGTGGTTTCTGAATGTGTCAACTTTTATTTGTTCTAGAGCAGGGAAATTTAGCTGGCAATAGACGAGAGAAGGTTCCTTTCTCGGAATTCAACTTGGGGATATGTTGCGACAGGGGAAGCAACCAATCTGTAGTTATCCGAAGTATAGTAGTAGATTCTGGGTCTTTGTAGAAGAATCATATATACTCCAATAAAGGCAAGGACACCTCAAACAGATTCCTCTTGCAGAAATCCGCAGCAAGTCAATGACGGTCTTATTCATGTATATTGTGAAAGTGTTTGCTGTAGGGTATCGTGCTTTTCCTCCATCCAGTGCCATCCTGCGCCTACAATCCTGTATGTGCTGCGTGTATATCTTTCGTACTCCAAACCCTCATCGACCAACTCTACCTCTTCCCTCTGCTCTCTAGTAAGTAGCAATCCAACCTCCTCATCTCCATCAAAATCAGTAAAAGCAAATTCCCTGCGCCGGACTCATGCACGGCCTAAGAAGCGTACCGGTACAGTAATAAGTAGAGAGTCGATTCGAAACGGGTAAAGCAAGGCAAGTCTTAAGTCATTCTGTATCTGTGTCGGTGTCGTCGTGGAAATCGTTCTAGGGGTCGTATCGAAATTTCGAAATTAGGTTTTAGAGTTTAGGATTAAGGTCAGATCATTGCTGTTGAAGATTCCAAGTATAATGCATAGGTGGGTGAGGTGCCTCTCCTTCTTGTTTCACGTACTGGCTCTGCTCGGTTGGAAACTCGTACTGATGGACGCCGGGCGGTTGACTTGTGCCGTAGACTCCTCCTCCTTCTGACGCGCTGGTCCACGGCTGGTTCATGGTCATTGAATGTTGTTGCGTGGTGGGAAAGTACTCGGGTGCCCGCGAGGGCATGGCTACGGAGGGTGCTTGGCTATAAGGAGCCGCGAAGCGGGTCGAGTACTCGGAATAAGCTTGAGGTGCGTTTGAGGGGACCTCTGGAGGCGCAACGTGTCGTGGGGATTTTGCGGGTCGCGGGTTGCTGTCAATGAAGCGAAGGGTGGTGGAAGAGGGTGGTTCGGAGGAAGGAGGGTGGTGGTAAGCGTATTGTTGACGGAGTGGCGGTGGACCGGGGGCAAGATTTGTTGCTGAGGAATGCGTGCTTGACTGAGCGAGATTTGGATCTGACTGGTTGACCTGCAGGTAATTGTCTATTCCTATTGACGGCGCTGGGTAGTTTGGCGTGTTTGGTGCCGTGGTGTGATCTGGAGTTTGAGTTGCGTTCCACGAGGAATAAGTCCTTGTTCTGTCAGCAAGTGTACGTAAAAAAAGAATAAGGTTCTCTCCACAACAAGGATTGCGCGGGAGTGTAGCGCTGCTCTGGTATTATAACGAAGCAGGGAGATTCAATAGTATAACAAGGAGAATATGAACTTACTGTCGAATCATAGAGGGAGATCCCGAAAGTGTGCTCGAATCGAACGTGAAAGGTGACCTTGGAAGCTCAAGCGTTTGCGGCTTCGCCGTCTTCTTTCCGTCATGGCCGCCAGTATTCGACATAATGTTTGTAGCAACCTGAAGCTCAGGAGGCTGCCCACGAGAAGAGGACGACCCCGCAAGAGGAATCTCCTTTCTCGCCTGAAAGTTTCTCGGACTTCGACCTCTGACCACAATTGGCGCGGTAGCCGTCTCACAAACATTCAACTTCGTACTATTCGCCAAAGTCCCCACAACGTTGAGGTGAAGTGTGAAGTGCTGTTGAAGCTCTCGTCTTCGACCGTTGTTTGCCGTTGCAATCCTGAATTGCAACCTCCGATACGCAATCGGATACACCGTGAAGTCGGGATCTGCATCGGGGCCTTCGTCGAGCGGTAGTAGTGGTATGGGTGCAGGCTCATGTTCCTGGCCTGTTGGGATTTCGGGTGAGTTGGGTGGGGGAGTCTTCCACGGGATAACGATCAGCTTCACGATGTGGTTGTCAACAGACTCGGTAGCGGAGATGACGACTTCCAATGAAACGATGGGAATCCTATTGTTGTGTTCAGTAATTATTGACAAGGCGCTTCGTGGTGTAGTGACGCTTCCAGATATCTGGAACAAGTTTCGTCGGTAGCATGTCAGCTCGGGCTGCACTAGATGATTCTCTCCTGCTGGTGTTGCTAATTCCGATAAGAAGAACATCCCGTGGATCTGCGCTGTCAACTCGATTTGCTGTACTCGCCCTTGACCGTCGATGATGGTGTGCTTCTCCTGGAGTTTACCAAAAGAAAGCAACCTGTGGTCTTGGCTGATCGTGGGCTTCGGTGCGTCGATCTCGTCCTTGAACTCCTGCACGCTTTCCCCATACGGTATTTCCCCTTGAAAGGCTCTCTTCAACGATGGATAACTGTGGTGGGTGTTCAAGGGCGGTGGTGATGCAGTCATGACCCCAGATCCCTCTCGAGGACGTGGATGTATTGACGGAATGTCCAGAGAACGGTAAGTCCCTTTCTGGGGTCGTCCATGGTGCGGGATAGACAACGCGGGAGAGTGATAGTTCGAGTCGAATGCGGGGGGATGGGACACGCTGGGAGCTTGGTGGCTGTAGCCATGCCAGATGGAATGCTCTCCATCTTCTGGCTTAAGGTTTGCCATCGTCATTGAGTGTGTGATGGACATCGACGCATCTCTCCCTCGTCCGGGCCGCCAGGTAGATTTAAAGATACACAGAAAATGTAAAGTTTCAAGCGCATAGAATCAATGATGATCTTGCTGCCATCAAATCAGGCATGGGAGGTAAAAGTAGATGAGGACCGGAGCTCTGGCTTATGCCCGTATGGCACTAGACGGTGATTCGTGGGATTGGACCAGGTGTTTGAAAGGGGCCAAAGTAGCTGAGGGGCCGGAAGCCTCATGGCTTTAAGTTCCTTCCGCTGTCCCTTGGATAAGGTAAGGGAGGAGGGCATGGTAAGGCCCCATCGCCGTTAGTTTCCCCTCCTTGAACGGCAATGCGATCACCCTTTCCAGCGCCCATGGCAGTCTCGAACGAGCAAGAGTGGCTGGCGCGTGATCTGCATTGGTGATAGCCCTGCTCCTGCGGTGGACGCCAGTCCCATTGGCAGCGGGAACGCCTCGACCGCAGTGCCTAAAGTCGTATCTGATGGCGATCCTCAAACGGGGGGACATATAAAAAAGACGTTGGGGCGCTGGGATCGCGTCCCCCAAGGAGCGAGACACATGGGGCCAACCGCCAACCTTGTGCCGCTCCCGGACAGCGTCCCTAACTGGGAACGAGCCGTGGGCAGGGGCGCTGGAAGCAGCATAGCGAGCTCAACTTTGACCGCTCGACCCACTTGCTGCCCCCTGAGCTGTCAATAAAACGCAAAGCGAAGCCGTCCGGGCAGCACCCATTATTTCCCCAGCACGCCAGCACAAGCAAGCTGCACAACTCACTCCCTCCGCGGCGTCCACGCCGTCCACGCCTCTTCACGCCTGTGCACGCCTGTGCACGCGCACGAACACCCAGCAGCGAAGCGCCCCTACTGCTGCCCGATAGCAGATTGGCGCTTGTGAAGCATTATTCAGCTGTCAAACATTGGTAACGTCCTTGGGGAAACCCGTCCTGCCCAATGGGCCACGCGAGCTGCCGCCTTCTATCACTGAATGGCCTATTTGGGCGGGTCAGAGAGGGCCCCCCCCAGGGTCCTCAGCGGCAATACCTGCTGCTCGATACGAAATCCACGCGTGTCTCGGGTTCCTAGGCCTCACTTACCGGCAGCGGCGGGAGACACATCAATCTGGCCCTGGCCACGCCGTTCGGAGCTTCCAAGCGACGTGAAGCCATCTGCTCTCTGCTCAGGGCCGCTGGACGGTGGTTGGAGAGCTTGGAGATGATGATGACGCCCCTTTCGACTCGTCAAGCGCCGCAGACGCAGATGCAGATTGGCAGCGGCCGAGTCGATGCAGCAGACTCCGGAGCGATGGTGTCCAGCTCGCTGCCAGCTCCTGCACCCCGATCAACTGGTAAACTCAATCGCAGATAGGCTCAAAGTAGCAGGAGGCGTGCTGCAGTCTATTGCCTCGGGGGAGTGTTGTCGTCTGAAGTTGTCCTCTTGGGAAAGGATGGGCCGCTAGAAGGCCTCGGCGCCGTTGGCTCAAGCTCTAGTTGTCTCAAACGTTATTTTCTCTCCTAAATTGGCCGTTTCTAGGATGCTCCAGCAGACGTCTCACACTCCAAACAAAGCCTCCGGTGACATTTTATCTCCCGGAGAATTTTAGAGTAGAGTTGCAGCAGCCTCATGCATAGCCTTACATCAACCTGTGACTCTGGCAGCGACGGTGTCCGGTGCTGCTGGATAGGGCATCCTACTCCGTGACGACATAGAAGCATTCTAGAATCCCACAGCCCCTGTGCTCATTGGATCCTCATCCGCTGCCGCTGGATTCGCTGCTCGCAGGCCCTATCCTTCGGCCACAGCTGCTTGCATGCCATGGCGTCGCTGGCGTTCGGGACCTCCGCTTCATGCCCCAGACCTCCATAAACGAATATCTTCCATCACCACAAAAACGCCAGGAAAAGCGGTAACGTTGCAGCGGCCGCGTATTTACACTTGGCTCTCGGGATACGAGCATCGCGTAATCCGATACTCGCAAAGAGAGAACGCAAGAAGTCGCCAAAAAGGACCGAATTCATGTTCGATATGTGGGAATCTGGGAGCAGTGGGAAAGCTCGGATGACCAGTCAGTGTGTATTGCGCGCGCAGGGTCCGGGACCGTGGGGAAAGATTGATATCAAGGTGCCTGTTCGGGCCGCGTCGGGCAGTCGTCGGGAATAGCCAGGCCCACTATCCTCGGTCTTTAGTAACCCGAAATAGGGAGCATTTTCGGCATTTCGTGCACAGGACGAGACCTGAGGCCTGTCTAACGGGTGTTATTGTCCTGGATTTCGAGATATATATTGGCTTCTCATGGGTTGGAATCCAGGTGGAAATTACAAGTGAAAGTAAAATGAGTTCTTCGTAAAGGCCTCTTTCGTTTATGGTCACGTGGATCAGATTAGGGAAAGGAGGGGGGATCATCAAGTTTCGACACTTTCAATTTTGAAGCTGAAACTGAAGATCTCAGTTCCCGAACCCGCTAGTTTATCAAGATGTTTTCTCCGATCGGTCTAGCACCTAGACCTGTCGTTTCTAGGATCCCATCCTGCGGGTACGATGCTGCTTTTACACCGGGGGTTGCCAGCTCGTGTTTCGAGCTAAGAGTAGGTTTGCCCAACGTTAATATAACAGATCGTCCCTCCTCAGGATCCCCCTCCTCTCTTTTCATTTCCTCTCCTCTTTCGATTCATTGGTTAACGGTTCAAAACGACACTCGCTGAGCCACCACGATATATGCTTCGACAAGTGCATTCTCGACCCGCTCTTCAAGTGACAGCGAATGGAATGTCGGGAGGTGAGTGGCTTTGTTGACGGGTAGCTCCATCACGCAGCTCAGATCCCAGCGTGGAACCTTTGGTACCCGTTTCGTTCTGCTGTTGTCCGTGATACAGCATTGATGATGCCTGTTCCAGGTGGGAAAACAATTTCAAGCCGGTGTTAGTGCATCTATATGTGTGCAACGCGGAAAGGTATTACCTGAAGCTCAAGCAAGGAATTCGGCAAGAGTCGATAGAGACCACGCCTCCACGAATCCGCATATTGGGCGCCGAAAGCAGGAGACACAACCTGTGTCCTTTTCAACTTCTCGAAGCCGCGCAAATCTAGACATGACCCATGGTATACCGCCCTCCATCTGCACATCTTGGACTCTTCCAGAGTAAAGACTCTTACAGAGTGCCGGGCTGCTACCAAGGCTTGCCCGAGCCAGGAAGGTAAGTAGTGATTCTCTAGTCTTATGCTAAGTTTCTCCAGTAGATCCACACTCTGCAGCAAAGGCTGCAAGGCATCATCATGACCCAGTTTCCGGCCTCCCAACTCAATTCGACGTAGTGCGGTGAGGATGTCAATCAATCCACTCAACAATTCCGACTCGGAGCGGTGAGGTCGCGGCAAGTGGTCTGTCCTGAGAAACGATGGATAGAATCTTGCATCGTGTACAAGGGCGTAGTTCAGTGCTGCGGATATCTGCAAATATTCCGAGTACGAGAGACGTTGAAGGACGTCCAGAGCTCGATTATTCTTCGGTGGTACTGCATCCGTCCAAGAGAATTCAAGGCTTCGGGTGCGTGTTGGCAGGCTTGGATCCCCGTGGAGAAGTTCATGAGATGGTTGAAAGGAGAACTTCCATGCCTTAATCATCTTTTCTCAAGCCCAGGCACGGAACTAAATGCTCTAGGAGTACGCGTTGGGCCAAGAGTTTCAAGTAGGAGCAGACGAGAGAAATATTGCAGAGCGTGGAGGTATCGTGCTCAGAGCATGCCAAAATCTTCGGGGAAGTAAGTGATGACCACCATGGCTGTTGATTCGTCAGAATGTAAGAGAATGAATTTGGAGCAGACCCTGTTAGAAGAAAGAAGTGTCGTTGAAATAATACCGAACCGCCAAGCCTGCAGGTTCTCGCTTGAACATGAGCGTGCACGGCAGCACGTGAATTGAGTTACACAAACTTTGATATTTCTCAGCTCCACTGATGTGCATTATTTTAAAGCATCACTTGGACCCCTAAACATTGTTGGTTGGAATGGAAAGGTTGAGTGATACCTAGAAAAATTCGAGGAGGGGGGGGTTGAAACTGGTGTACTGTACACGGTACGTGAGCGAAAAGGGGGAAGGAGGGGCAGGACGTGGTAAGATTTGCCCAAGACAAACAATTTCAGGCGATGATGTCCGGTAATACAGGTGCTATTGTGTTGAACCCAATAAGTTTTGTTGTTCTGGTTTGGCTCAACTTATCAGGTAGATTGGCCCTGGTGTTCAAAACGGACAACAGCGAGCAAAAAGTATGAGCTGCAATCCATCTTGCCAACTCCCCCCCCCCCCCGAGAACACCTCCAAACACAATCATCATGCTCATAACTACCTGCGAGCCCAGCCCTGAAACGAGATAGAGTTCGTCTCAAATTCCAGCTTCACACCCTCCGGCAATTCCACCTGGTGGCATTTTGTTTTGTCGAAGGGGTCATGCGAGCGACCCAACCCCTGACTATGCGACTCTCGAAGAATCAAAGAGCGGAACTTCGGATAGTGAGTGTTTTTATTGACAGCCAATTCTGATAGCCAGTTTACTTGCCAATGCTCAAGCACGGATGGTGTTGGATCCATTGTTGTAATGATTCGAGCCTTTTCAACAAAGTTGATCTGTGGGAGGAAAGCTGTTAGTCCATGTTTCTGCGGGACCCTTGGGAAGAGCGTACCTGCAGATCGACCAACGAACGTGGCAGAAGTTTATACTGCCCCACTCGCCATCTCTCCGCATCACACGATGCAAAATATAAACTTGATAAAACTTCCACCTTCTCTAACACTCTGAAACCGCTCAAATTGAGAGGAGATACGGGCTGCGCATCATAACTATCAGCCCCACTGATGCTAAGAACCCTCAGTGTGTCGTGTATGGGTACCATAGCTTGACTGATCTCTGAAGAATTATAGGAATGCCTGCCAGAGGATGTCTCTGGGCCCATTCTTAGCATGAATTCTTCCAGTCTGGTGGTCATCTCGAGCAATCTCTTCAGAGGAAGCCCACGTTGTGCGTGCCAGATTCCTAGCTCGAGAGACCGGAGTGCACAGATCCTGCCTTGAATGTTCTCATAGGCGGGGGATGCAAAGTCGTCTGGAAAATAATCCAGGGATAAGTGTTCTAGGTTTGGGAGATATAGGAGTGTAACCAGGCTGCTCCAAGAGATCCATGGACTTCTCAGCTTGAGCTTCGTGAGTCGAGTGAGACGGTTTGTTTCGAGGAAGGAGCCGGAGCTCGGTGGGCTTATGTCCCATCGAGGCAGCATGAGTGTGTTTTTCAGATCGAGGGATTGTAGCGAGGTGACACGATTGAGAAGGTCGAGTGCTCGCTTGATAGAATCAAGGGATTCATTACATTGGTGTCGAGAAGAGAGCACCAAGGTCAGAACGTGCGCTGAAAGATGCGGGGTCTTGTCGAATTTTTTTATGATCTTGTCGAAAGGAGTCTTGATGCCATTCAGCGATATATCAACTGATAGGACTAAGTGCCTCAAAAGAAGCTGCTGAGCCACCGATACGAAGAAGGACGACACGAGAGAAAGTCGGCAAAGAGTCGTTTTGTGGTCCTCGAAGCTGTTGAGAATCTGGTAAACAAGCTCCGCAGGCAGCTTGGTAATGGTGGCCATATTTCCCATCAAAGGCCAGTGCGCAAAGATTAGATAGAGCGTCTTTTTAGTAAGATGTAGGATGTTGGTGTCGACAAGTGTCGTCTAAGTTTTACCCGCCCTGTTCAGCCTTTTATGTATCAGGGATCAAGGTTCCAATTTAGCGATCAACCCTTGGAACCTCTGCAGCGTGGAGTTGAGAAGCTGAGCTGCCTATTTTTCCGGCGGGGATCGCTCTGTAGCACGCAACATCATGCCCCCTTCAGGTCTAAAAGCCTGAGCCGAAATAGAGGCTGCCTCAGTTATGACATTCGTGTGCGAACCGCTACCAATCTTTTCAGTATCAACGAGATAACAGCATGTTCTGCTCAATGCATTGTTGAAAACTTAAATCGACAAGGGAGGTTGGCTGCAGCTGATGCTACCCCGCGTTTGCACGTGTTGGGGCTTTGCACTGTGGCTGAGCCATGAAAAAAGCACCTCCCTCAGAGCCCCGTTGCCTCCATCTCAACTCCACTACGAACTTGCAAAAATGAGAGAGTCTAGACCTGCGTGACAAACGCTCCGGTGTGAGCTCCGTGTCCCACCACTTTTCCTCCTAGCTTCTCCGGCTCTCTGCGGCCCGCTGCCGGGCTTTTTCCCGAGCCATGGATCCAGTTTCCGTGACAGCAGGCATGGTTGGCCTCCTCACATCCATTTTACACCGCTCGAAAGAAAGATCCGAATTCATCGGCGGGCTCCGTGGTGCCCCCAAAGATATTGCAACACTCTCGACCGATCTGAAAGCCTTCTACGAAGTCCTCGGCGTGCTCATGGGCATAAGACAAGTTTTCCCGAAATCAGCCACTATGCGATTGGCTGCTCACACCACTCGAGAACTGTTTAGACGTCTTTGAAGGGTTCACAACACAAGTTACGCGCGATGGGACAGCTAAGGTCCGGACGTGGAAGGGTATCAGGTGGGCGTTTAAGGAGAAGGTGGTCCAGCAATTTAAGGATAGGATTCTTACTTACAAACTTTCTCTAAGTGTGGCTGTTGGTGCAATGAGACTGTAAGTAAATCTGCTGCGTTGAAACGTTGCGAAGTAAATTGCTAACCATTGAACCTTTTGAAGATTAACGACCTCCTCAATAGACGAACGAACGAAACGGATAGAGAGTGGTTTGAAAGAGGATATGAGGCATGTTAGATGCAAATTACAAACTTTGGACCACGGCTACATCGAATTGGCGAGTGTTGCTGGCCAGAAGGGCTCGGATTGGCATGGTACAGATGTTGGCTTTGCCTTGAGCAGATTTCTTGACTACGCCGGGTCACTTTGCAATTCCCCTCCGCCGTCCCTGAACGCAACACATCATACTCCCACTTGATCCCGAGAGCAAGATTGGGAACCCAACGGGACTTCTACTCAGCACGTCGTATTTGAACGAGTCAGGTGGGCCTTACGATACTCCAGCTACGACGATTCATAAATGCGCGGGCCATAATGTGAGCATCCAAACAAGAGATTAGGGAGACTACTTACGCAAAGTAGAGGAAGAGGGCAACTGGCACGAACATGGGGAGATCTTTCCTTTTGTGTTGCTTCCATTGTCGGTCGTGGCCCATTGGCTGAGATCCCTGTGCGGCCCAGACTGTGTCTGGAAGTCTGGCATTGAGGCTGCTTGAGCAAGAAACCGCTTTGTTCCACTGATGATGGTTTGTCATGGCGATTAATAATGATTTTATGGATGGAGAGAATGCTGCGGAGCTGGGGACACTGACTAGTGTGCCATATGACTATACTTTGTGGGGAAGTGCGAGTGTTAAGGCGGCTGTTGTGGGGATAGCGGGTAATGCGCTTAGCTTTTGATCAGGAAAGTGGTTGAGTTTGTGCTGTGTCCTGCTTAGCCAGCGGTACTCATGAGGGAGGTGGAGGATAGAGATTCGGCCGGCGGAAATCTTGCTACGGCAGCGATTCCAGTTGAATAAACACATCAGCCGCCAAACAACGCTTTAAAGGGGATTTTGACGTTCTATGTTGTGGTAAGATCAAGTGCAATATTCAAGAGCAGAGGGAGTGGCTACTAAGGCCTCTAGATGGATCCTAGGCCAAAACCAGAAGAGAAGCCTCAGCCAGAGACTTTCCCAAAGTGGAACCCCACTGCTGTTTTTCTCCCGTTGATGGATATGTATGGCGTAAATTACTCGAAAGATCCACGGTTTCGGCCTATTCTAGCACAACTCAACACGTTGCTAAACGACGACATTTTGCTCATCGTGCTGAACATCGATATACTCCTGCATGAGCAGCTGCCTTTCGTGGAGCGTCTCAAGAAGGATATTGAGCAAAATCCAATTGAAAGGGAGAAAGGAAAAAGAGTTGAAGGGGTGGCAATTGAGAATGGATTCCATGGCTGGATTGAATCTAAGAAACATTTGCACAACTTGATGCCACACAAATGCCGATTTCTTGTAGTTCTTGAACGTACTGCTGGCTCAAGTAAGCGTGAAACAATCAGCGTGGGAAAAGAGTAAAGTAGAACAGTGGACCCTACTCATATTCTACTCAAATATTTTTCTCACTACTTATACTCTACTTAATACTCTACTTAATACTTTACTTAATTACTCTCGAATATTCTAGAATAATTAAATAATATATATATATAATATTTTATATAATATAATACAGTTACGGATCAGGAGACCTTCAAGAGCTTTAGAAAGCAATAGCAAGGGAAATATTAACCAATGAGGTTGTCCACGAGGAACTGATGCCTCGCCATTTCAAATTAGACAAGAATGCCTGCATTAGGTGCCACTTTGTCTGGTCTGAGGGCCGTGGTATTGGTCGCTCTCAGCTTCATCGTCCAGTCTGGGAGGACTGCTGTGAAAACTTTGCAAGAGCAAAGAGAATAATCTGGAACCAAGCATTGGTGGCCGTAATGTGAAGAATCCAAGTCGATCGCCATTCCGATGATTGATATTATATAATCCCTCGGGTCATTGCAATCTGAAAGACTCAAGATTTTGAGGGAGCTGACAACTGACCACAAGGTCAGACTACCTCAAGCCTGGTAAAAATCTTGCAAGAGCACTGGCCGCAGTATGGGATACTCACTCAAAGTTGTGGTGAAGATATCTGCCTTCCACTTTCGTAAGAAGCGCCAACCCACTTGCGAAGTCTGCCCAGAGCAGAGTTTAACTGTGACACAAAACCACGGCGAGTTCTTGTCGAATCCACCCCCGCCCCTAATGTTGACGGCTTAAGAGCAAGTTATAGCTGCAATCGCGTTGTCCCAGGAGATATGGACAACCAGTGGTCGAATCAGCTTAGTCCAGCTGACCTTCTTCGTCCCATATTCAGCAGATATGGCTTGGGAGTTGAAATTCCAATTGTCGTCTGAAGCAATGGCGAATTCTAGGAAGGTAATTTGGTTAATTTCCATGATTTCATGGGCTTCGGCACCCATCCGGCCCAGTGCCTTGCTGGCCATCCGCTGATGGACTGAGGCGCAACAAGCGTATGCTCGGCTTGCCGAAGTTTGAGTCTTGGCCGCCCAAGCGTGCCGAGCAGAAAGGTGTAGCCATACCTAGGAGAGGCGACAAAATCAGGAGGTGAGGGATGAAGCAATATTGCCTAAACTCGGTGGGAGATTGAGGAGCTAAGAGCTGATAGCTGTCGACTTTATGGAGAGTGTTTGATCGAGGAAAGCTCAGCTGCAAACCCTCTACATTTAGGTAATAAATGCCTCAAGTATTTCTTTTGGTTAGGCCAGTTACGTGGTCTGCTAAAGGAGGGGTTTGCCACACAAAGGCTGCATCGACCGCTTGGGCAAAAACCGTGATATCTCAGCTTCTAATCACAATTTCACAAATAATGCTCTTGAAACATTTCAATTGCTTCCTGTGGTATAGTGCGGAAGCCCATGTCAGTAGCAATGGTATTAGACTATGGGCTTCGCCAAGTATTTCTCTTTTCAACTGGGGCCAGTCTCTTAAAAAAAATTCCCAATGGGTATACTTCGGTACAAGATACAAATGAAACATTTCGCTTAATCTCGCTTATTCTAGCCACAGCCCCTTTTTAACGCTCCGCACGAACGAAAATTCATGCCCATTTCAAATTCAACAAGCTTTGCTCTTCCTGATGAATGCTCCTCGTTTTTCTATCACTTTGGATCTATTTCGGATCTGCTTTTGAGACCCCGTTTGATAACAGCAAGCTCGTCCTTTTCGGCGAAGATCAAGTCTCCGTGGCCGTCACTTCGATGATCAACTCTCCATTCGCACAAAGCCAATCGGCCGGCAGAAAGAAGTGGCGTATGGCCGCTGCGGTATGGAGGTCGGTAGACTAGATCCATCCGTCATGCGTCAGGTACACGAGATTTCGGCCATAATAGCCAATGAGATGTCGAACTCCTTCATCAAGAATGCAGTATGGTTGAGTCTGAAACGGAGATGTCAAATCTTCGGGGAAATCTGAGGTATCCCAAAGGAACCCTCTGAGGTTACAGTGCGGCGCTGTGACGTCGCTAAATAGTGTTGCAAAGAAATTATCTCCAAAACATAGCATGATAGCCTTAATGTTAACAGCGGGAGGCCTGGTAAGCTCCAGTGGTATCCCTTGTGGCCCAGTCAGTCGGTTCAAGGTGGACCATTCGTAGAAATGGAGAACGCTGCCGATAAGTAGAACCAATTTGTCCTGCTGAGAAGGGTGGCTGGCCCATCTAAATGACTCTCGGTTCTTCCATTCGATTGTCTTTGTGATCAAGTTGCCATTGCTAGATATTGTCCACAGCATATCTTTTAAGCTCGAAGACACAAGTAGTCGAGTGTGGCCAATATTGCCAAGCACCTGACGAATGGCCTCCGAGAATTCCTGATCGAAGGACGGCTTCAACTCTTCCGAGGTTTCCGCAAAGTCGGTGCAATGATGAATCATGACGCGACCGGAATCGTCCAGGCTGATCAATGTGTCGCTTGCATTGTCAAAGTGAAGGCTGATGACACGCCCAAGACTGAATAACGTTCGAAGCTGCTTCCCGCAATTTGCATCGAACAAGGAGACTGAACCATCTCCTTTCCCAACAAAGATGTGCTCACGGTCGCCGTAAATTGCAATAGAGGTGATATTTGCAGGACTACCATACTCCGCGCATTTGACTTCCTGGGCCGGGGCCAATGACACCGACGCATAACCACTGTCCTCAGCAGAAAGGTCAGGTCTTAAAAAGACCTCCGGGCTCCAGATATGGCACTGCCGTTCGCGCATGTCAAGGAGGCATCGACCATCACCGCTAAACTCCAGCCGTTGTATGCATCCGTCTGTGCGTATTCTATACAAGAGCTCGAGTCCTTCAAAGTCGAATATTGATATATTTCCATGGAGATCACCGCAAGCTAAAGTCCGCCCGTCCGGGGAGCAAGTCATGACTTGTGCATTGGCAAGTATTCTCCTGACAATTTGGAACTCTGACCTATCAAACAACACCAGATCGCCATCCCTGTAAGAGGCAACGAAATACTTGTTGTTAGCGTTGCTAAAGGCAACGCAGATGACCTCGGCTCCAGCGCCTCGACTGAAAATGGTATATTCTCCGTCGAGCTCCAAATCCCAGAGAACGATATCTTCTCCCGTATACAGCACAGCGAGCAAAGTAGCGTCTGGGCAGAATTTGGCGGAAATTGGTCGTAGGGATGCGTAAGCGAGTGTGATAAGATCTTCTGTCCAGCCTGCGATCTCTCTTACAATTCCCGTGGTCATGTCCCAGATCGTGACACAATTATTGCCCAAGGCACCTAGCAGTAGTCGATCTTGGTCTGCGAACTCTAGCGGCAAGCATTGGTCGGAGATGTTGAAACCCCAAAGCTTCTTTCCTGAGGTCACGTCCCACACATGGACAAAACTGGTGCCTGCAGACACAAGTGTACCAGCCGCATTGTCAAATTTCAATACCCCCACAGCCTCTTGATGTTTTAAAGTCCTTAGTTGTTGGCAAGTGGTCTGGTCATAGATTGTTATCTTCCCACTTGCCATACCGATAGCGAATTGCGTTTTGGAAACCGCAAGGGCGGCGTATTGATCATGGGGCTCGATAACAGTAGAGAGACAATCACCCCAGGCTCTTGCTGATAGTCCAAGTATGGAAATCCCGCGTCCAGTCGACCCAAACTGCTTTCTCAAGGCTGAATCCGCTGGACAGAGGGGTGGAATGAGCGTAAAGATCGAGGATGGCGAAGCTAATAAGCATGTCCCAAAATGAGAGACGAGACACACTAGATCTGTTGACCAAGCATCAATTATCACGAATTCTTTGCCAAATGAGCTCTGATGCTTGCTTCTCCTTTGGAAGTATTGTTTCAAGGCCTTTGCAGTTTCAATCAGTAAATTAAGGTTGGACTGTTGAGCAGCGACATATGTTATCCACATTAGGACGTTGGTAGAGGACAAGAACCGTGCCAGTATTAACGCGATTTGATCATCCGCCGAAGATGCGAAGCTCAAGTGCTGGAAGAACATTGTACAGGCATACTCTGCAAATGAACAGAGCTCCAGGAGGCTTTTGGAACCAGATCTCTTGCGCGCAGATGGCCCTCTTATCTCATCGCTGGTCAGATATTTCATGCAAGCTAGGAGGATCCTAGTATGGGCGAACTCCTTGTTAATCGCAAACACTGAATCAATATCCGGGCGAAGGAGAAACTGCCGTGCAGTTTGGTGAACTATTCGCACTCGAGACTGCGAGTCAATAAAGACTAGCTGCCCGCACATAGATATCACACTCTCGACGGCATTAATGTTGTCGTTGAGGTCGAATTGAAGAGCGTGGGAAAGTTCATCTGTTTTGAGGGGCCGGGCAGAGCACACAGTCCACCTTAAGACAGATTTGACGAGCTCCTCACCACGTCGAGTTTCAGATAATGTGTCCAATATGCGAGAATATAGGACACCCATGTCTGTAGGAACGGCTGCAAGGACCTCTTGAACATCGGAGATGGTATGAACCATACGCAGTTCCCGCAGAACCAAGCTAACCCACAGAAAGCAACCGTCGGATTTCTCCAGTATCAGAGCCACCAAGTCTTGCCGAGTTTGCTGATCTGATACAGGAAGTTGATCAAAATTTGCATCAAGGTAGAGTTTTATGTCAGACCTTGTATCCTCCACTAAGATTTCTTCTGACTTGATGTTCAAACTCGGTGAGAAAGGTATCCCTTTCAGTTCGATCTTTTTTCTAGACGTAACAAAGATGCGTAGATTTGCTCCCTCTGGAATTTTCAAAAGCACACGAAGCAGCTCATTCCCTGACATGCATTCATCCAAGGCATCAATAACCCAATAGCGTGGGGCTTGAGACCGGGTCCACAAGATACCGCCCAGAAATAATTTACGCCAAAGGATTTGATAATCCGCCTTGCTTAGTTGATCATATTTTTCGCAGATTCCGAGAACTTTGGATAGGACCTCAGGACTCGCTCGACTCATTTGCCAGGCCATTGAAAGAAGGAATGACCTGATGGCTGACCTGTTGGACTTGTTGCCGTTCTTGAAAAAGTGATAGCTGCAATCTAACCCAACGCTTTTGAGATGAGCGATTACTTTTCCGCTGAGGACAGTCTTGCCAGTAGCTGGTCTTGCATTCATCCAGTAAATTTGCGTGCCCTTAGGGCAGTCTTGCCACTCCCGAAAGCTTTGCTTTTCTATCAGCCACTGGCAGGTACCTGGCGTGCGTAGGCGATCGATCTCTATAAAATCATGTTCGACGGCTGTTGTTACACCAAGGACTTCATCAAGACGACTCTGTTGGCATTCTTTCAGCTCTTGCCGCCAGCGAGCATCGTGATTGTATAAATCAGCAACGGCGGATGCTAAAACATCACGGACGGTTTGATAATTCGGGTCGGAAATCGCTTCGAACTCGCACATTCTGCGATGGTCAGTGTTTAAGAATGTAGACCTTTCATTAGCACAGCCCAGTACAGCCTGGTCTTTCTCAACTACAATGGTCCTTGTGAGACCTAATGATGCCGGGAGTGTTTCGTAGCAAGAATAGATCTTGAGATGCTGGCAATATCTGGAGAACTCGTCGTTGATGGTTAATATAGATTGAAAACTGTGACTTACGTGAGATCCTCTTGGAATCCGAGGGCAATTTTGGATATCGGCCAGCAGTGCTTTTGCAAAGTCTTGTATCGTGAGAACATTCTCCTTGTTCCTCCAGTTTGAGTTGTAGCCAAAACTATGGATTCGGACGTTCTGGAAGCTATCATCTTTTGGAAGCCATTCTTGGGGCCAAAATGACGAGGGGTTGTTCTCCTTCATCCACGTTTTCTTTGAACCTCCTCCAAGACCATGAACGAATACCAAGTCTGCTATAGCAGGTTTAGATGGATCGAAGAGGGTGTTGAGACCTAGGGGCCCGTATTGGTCTATCTTAGCATAATTTTCCGGATGGTCCAACGCTTTTCCCAGATAGGAAAACCTTCTTGGTGGTGGTGGAGGTGGTGGCGTATGTGCTTTTTCGCCTTCACGAGCGAAGTATTTAGCTATAAATGCACTTTTGAGAATAGAGGTCCTCCCAGGGACTACCGTTTCAAAGGAATCCCAAGAGCCCAATGAGGAGTTGTCATCTTGAGCCCAGGATGTGGAGGTGTCGTTTGATAATTGAACCAGTGGGGGACAGGGCTCCAAGAGGTTCGCGGACCTTGCATAACTGACGAAATTGAAAGCTGGATCCTCTGGCAACATATTCCAAATAATGGCAGGCACCGAAACAAGTACTAGGGTTGAATGGCTGTGATACACACCTTCAATCTTTGCGTATTTAGCCAGCGCAGGGAAAAGCCTCATCCAGTTTTGAAAGCTGTCTAAGTTCAAAACTTGGTCCTCTTCCAACGCGACTGACATTATAACGTGAGGGTGGAGAAAAGTCTTGTCTGGAAGTGTCGCAAGAAGGGAAGAAAGATCGAAACTATGATCGTTACCTGCAATGGAATGCACAATACCGCCTTTAGAGCCAGCCGCGTCTGTTTCCATCGAAGAGGAGACCTGGGGCTGATTTTATGAAGAAGTAGAGTCAATGGTTTGCATCGTTTCTCCGACGAGGGAAGTGAGAGCAGACCGACGACCTAACTCAATGCTGCATGTTTTTGGATTTGATGTGCTAATAATATAGACTGGATTCTTGCTGATTTCCCTGTTTCTCCTTGGCCGAGGTTGCTTCAGAATCGAAAGAACTTCGCAGTGGAGCATTGCAGCCGAAAAGCACTTGTGTTCAATCCAGTCCTCAAGCACTTCGATAAGAGTATTAGTGAAAGAATGCAGACCTGGTTCAGGGGCCTACGTCTCCCATCCGCACGCAGCAATAATCTCCGTTATCGAATTCGTGCGGCATGGTACAGTGGCGGCTGTAGCTGCAGCTGCGCAATAATCTAAGAGGAGAAGCGTATCTGACTTTAATTGCTCGAATAATGCCTGGCATCCATTCCATTCAAAGGAGCTGTGGGCAAGATCACGAGTACTATGCTATAGCTTAGCAAGATTCGATCTTCCCGAGCACCGATTGAGAGGGAAAGGCTGAATAGTGCCTGTATCTATTACGGGGCTCTGTATAGGGAAAAATTGAATAAACTTCAAGCTTACCAAGACCACGTGGACTGCCTTGCTTCATTGATTTTCGCATGCCCGCCGTAATAGACAATAAGGAGAGTGTCCTCGCTCTGGTAGTCTCCTACGAATTGCAATGCTTTGCCCATCATTTTCATATAGGGAGATTCAGTTGGAATCAGCCATGTCTCGGTATTGAATTTATAAGCTCTGAAGACTTTGGCAAGATCATTAAGTTCCCACTCAACTTGCAACTCGTCTTCCTCCCATCTGAGTAATAGCACTTCAATGCGCCTGTACCTAGTGAGTCCGCGGTTTGGAAATGCTCTATTCGCAGACTAGAGCAGCGTTAACCTTGCAACTTCTCGGATCATCCTACAAACTGGCCTTACTATTTCAACTGTCCTGGCAAACTCTGAAATATCTTTCACGTGATAGTTTGCCCTTTTCGTGTTGTGCGTGCTGAGACCTGGCGATGGACTGGTAGAAGATGCAGATGATGGCGCGCTCTGATATATTCATGTGAGTACATATAATGCCCAACCGAGTTTAATTGAGTGCTCTGCCACTCACACTTTTTGAGTCAGACTCCTCTGTCGAAGATGAGCTATTCGAGATATGAGATTGAGTTTGTGACAGCTGGATAAAAGGAGGGTCCATCTCGAAGCCGAGGCCGTGTCACCCAGCCTCATGGCAACTTATGCGTCAGCGATGCAAGGCTATCATCGATTGAGTAGTGTTACAGGCGCAGCGGCATGTGCTATATACTCGGGAATCTAAATAAGGCAGGAGGTTAACGTACAGATGACAATGCAAAGTTGGAGCCGTTATCTGCGAGAACGAAAATATGAGGGAAGATTTACTATTGCTCGCACCAACCCTCGGATATGGTTTCCTACGAAGATTGCGGCATAAAGTGACGGGATTACAGGGCATTTACGTTCGCATAGGGGTGTTAGCGGACTCCAGGGTGTGGCTTAAGGTACTGCGCCTGCTATAAGCCTTGTAACTCTAGGCCTGAACCCCTAAAACAAGGGCTGTGAGACATTTCCAAGGTGGTGGAAAATCTTCAAGGGTTAAGGTGTTGCTGGGGGAGCAACCGTAGCGCTCGGGCGCTGTGAGAGAGCTATTATAGGACCCTTTAGCGAGTCCGCCCCTGTAAGTACAGGGGATATGCCTTCTAAAGGTGTGGTACCCCTTGTTTATAGTTTATAGCGTGCTTATAGGGGAGTAGCCTGGAAATATAGGGGACTTTAGTGGGTGAGTGTAGTAGAAAGTGGCCTGAAAGTGGACTTGCGGTACAAATGCCCTGTAATCCCGTCACTTTATGCCGCAATCTTCGTATTTGGTCACCGATCAGAGGCATGCTTAGTGCTGCCTAAGAGGTGAACCAATCACCAGAATAGAATAGCCCTATGTAAAATCCGAATAATCGCTTGTTTAAACACCTCGAAAAATCCAAATACCCATCCGATTATTAAGAAAACTTCCCTTCCAAATGTGCCTAGAAGGGCCACGAGAGCACGAGCAGTGTATCAAAAAATAATCAAGGCTAATTAATTAGAATTAAGTATGATTTAATTGGCTTTATTTTTATTATAATTATTACGTAATAATATAAAAGTATATTTTCTTAGGTATTTTTAAATATTATTAAATAACTAATAGCTATATTAATAAGATATAAATAAAATCTATAAAACATATGACGGCTGGTGTCACATGGTTGGTTTCAGCCAAAGGGGTTGGTTTCAGCTAAGGTTCCAAGCTATGGTTCAAACCAGGCTCGCTTCCAAAGCTCGGCGTTTCAGTAGTCTTGGCCATACCTACTTATCCACTGCCACACCTCACTCCTTCCTCCTTAGCTTTAAATTCTCAAGATATAGGAAATCATTAATCTTTGAGCCTCGTTCCATTGCTCTGTTCCTGCAGTCACAAAACATATATAAGAGTATAAAATTAGTCTAAATCTAAAATAATAAACTAGTTTCCAGGTTTTGTTATGTGGTGCCGGTCACGTGGCACAATTACACGTGACTTAGCATATGGCCAGTGCTTCCTTAAGCCTGGCAGATAGCCTTTAGCTCAATTCAAGCTCTTTACTACTATTGCAATATTACCTTATCTTAATAGTTTTCTTCTTTAGAAATCTCTTTCTCTTTTCCCTCCTTCTTTTCTTCTTTCCTTATTTCTTATTCCTTAATTACTATAAGGGTTTAATTATAGCTCTTTTATTAGTGGCAAGAAATTACTGGAAATCAAGGAGGTTCTAGCGCCTTTGGCTTCTCTTACTAATTAGCGCTAGGCCTGCTTTAGTAAAGAGCGCCTTTAGCAATACCGAATACGGCTAGCCCAGACCTTATTTTAGCCTTATCTCGGCTTCCAAAGCTCCAGAATTATATGCGTAGTCACGTGATAAATCTAATTAATCATCTTTGATTAGCTTGATTTTGACTTGATTTGATTTGAGTAAGGGGGTCTAATCAAATCAAACCTAATCATTTGACACACTGAGTACTAGAGTATCGACACGCGACGGCCTCTGAGCCTTTTCCTCCATCTAGTTTACAGCGGTCATCCCTCCTTTGAAGATTCAGCACCCGTACGATCCGAACATTAAATTCTGCGCAAAGAAACCATCCCAAAGAAAACTCCTTCTAAATTGGAAATAACGCCGCTATTCCCTCCCGATATTCCTCATCCGTATTCGAAGCAGCACCGCACGTGACTTCTCGCTTATCCGGAGAGCGATAGCTTTTCTTTTGTCATGGCCGATTAACGTAACTGCGGGGTAAACTCGTGGGGTACAGTAGATCCGGAATCCTTATCAGCCTTCTCTCGATTACAAACTCTACATGCTTGCGGATGACGAGGAAATAAGAGAAACAACATTCCAACACCTGTACACTTATAATCATGGGCCAGGGCAATTCGACCGCCGCCGACCCGCCCTCTCCAGGTATGCAGAATCGTAGAGCAGAACCTCATGAGAACTAAGATCCTGATGATGGTGTGAACTTATAAAGAGGAACTCGCCCTCCGACTCACTAACATCTTCGCCAAGAAATGCTTCTCGCCCTTCGAACTCCGCTGCTTCAAGCAGACGTTCAAGTCGCTGGCCGAGGAGCAGTCGGGTGGGGTGACATACTGGCCAGAAGCCACGCTTGTCAAGTTCCTTGAGCTGCCTGACGCCTTGGGATCGGGAGCGGCGCTGTATCACTTGTGCAGCTATGTAGGCGCCTTTCCGTTTCCAAGCCATGCGCCGGCGGTGTTGACGGGCGACGCGCTGTTGAGGATAGTGTGTTTGATGACGGGCAGGTATATGAAGGTGCTGCACAATGGGAAGGAGGTTTGGAGACGGGAGATATGGAGGGCTTGTGCAGTGTTTGAGCCAGAGGCTTCGACTGCTACCACGAAGAAAACGGACCCTGCAGAGGAGACAACAGGTGGGGCTGCTTTTGCGAGTGAAGCCCAAGATACAAGAGCCGAAGCTTCGACGATGGGGAACCAAAAGCAGGAGGAAGGTGGAGGCGACGAAGACGAGCTCGCATTCCATGCTTTTGAGCTGATAGATGCTCTAGAAGTGTACAAGCAGGGTGAGAAGGCTAATGTCCAACATGGCTCGATCCCAAGCGAACGCTTTCTAAAGCTTCTCCAACTCCTCCTTCTCATTGCCCCTATCGGACGCGCGGAGAACGTGTCATTGTACACAACTCAATTGCACGAGAGGCGATTCGAAGGTCTGCGTGCCACTTCCGAGTGCATCCTGGCGTCCTTTGGGGTCGGGCAGAATTCTGGCATCGGATACAAGGCCTTTGACGCCGTGATCGCAAACACCCTTCCTCACCTGTTCGATAGCTTTAACCCTCTGTTTGAGCAATTCCTCTTCCCAAAGGATTTCGATGTCCGCAAGAGCAAGGCCTCCATTCCCGAAGACGCTGCACCGGTATCTACTCCCGAAGTTCCAAATGCTACGGTTGCCTCTCATATACAACCTGTGCAAATTCCAACACCGGAGCCTCTTTTACCTGTGGAAGGTGACATCCTCGATCTCAACTTGCTCTCCCAGCTCTCCTTCATTTTCTCCGACAAGAGTATCTTTCACCGCCTGCATCCGCTTTATCTCGGCCATAACCAAGGCTACAGCATGGGCTCCTTTGAGAAGTCTGTGTTCAAGTGGCATGCACCCTCCATCCTGCTCGTCTCGGGCACCCTCCTCTCCCCCACCACAAAGCAGAGCCAAGCGCGCGCATTCCTCGACGAACTCCCGCACCGTCGACTCTCCTCCAGCGTGGATTCCCCTCCACCCCTTCAATCCGCGACGGCCTCAACAGCAGCATCCGCTCCAGACACCCAGCGCATCATCTACGGCGCCTACGTCCCCGTCCCTTGGGAAGCAAGCAACAAATCCAGCTTTGGAAATGACAAACCTACCCTCTTCCAGCTCTCCCCCGTCCACGACGTGTTCCCCGCCTCCTCCGTCAATCAAAACTACACGTACTTCAACAAACCTCCTTCACTTTATTCGGGTCTAGGCTTCGGCTCCCCCCTCCCAACCTACAGCTCCATGACAGCTTCGCAGCAGTCCAACAGCACCCGCCGGTCCTCGATCACCAACTACTCGGCGCGTGACACCGCCTACGGCTCTGGCAGTTTCTCAGAGAGCAGTTTTTCCGGCCCTTCCAGCCCGAGCCTAACCCGCCGCAGCTCGCTGATCGGCGACGAATACGTGCCCCTCGGGCCCGTATCGCTGCACATTGACGATGCACTCGAATTCGGGGTCTTCACGCACATCACCTCGAGCGGGAGCTCGTTCCAGCCCTCGAGATTGCCGGCGACGGCAAGATCTGGCAATGGTGCGGATTGGCAGGATCGGTTTGAGATTGATGCCATTGAGGTTTGGGGCGTTGGTGATGCAAGTGTAGCCGAGGAGCATAGGAGGGCTTGGCTGTGGGAGACAAGGGAAGCGGAGAGAAGGAAGACGGTGAATATGGGGATGGGCGATATCGAGGCTGACAGGGAGTTGTTGAAGATGTCGGGGCTGATCAAAGACGAGGGAACGGGTTAGGGAAGGGTGGGGTGATGGGACTGGATTGGTGAGTGGCTAGGACATGATGGGTGAGTGTTGATTGCCACGCCGAGGACGACGACTTATTCTGGAATATAGCGATTGGAAATTCTGTGGCCATGGGTTGATTCGAGGGTTTGGGGTTATTGTTAAATGGAGGAATGTAATGATGGCATGCCTGTGGGATTTTGTTATGATAATGATATTCTAATTTCTTTACGAGATCAGTAATGAGACACTGGAGCGACATAACAAGAGCACCACTCGAAGCTTTGCGTACACCTACCTATGTCAAAATGCCCCACGAAAGTTCTTATATTCCGAAATATATAGCTTAAGGCTCAGAATTTGAATGGGCTAAATGACTTTTCAGCCCGCTGGGCGTTGCTATTATTTATTACAAGGGAGATAGATATCTTTTCTAATAAAGAGACGCTCGCTCTTGGCAAAAGACTAAAGCATTCATAGAGTATTGATCTATGAGTGGGAACACGATATGTGGCCAAGATTCCCTCACCTGCATTCACGCGCTTAAAGTCTTCGGCAGCTGGACCACAAGCACAGGAGGAATTAGTTCTGGAATTGCTAGAAAGTTGTTTCTATTTACCCTCTCACCATGTAAACCTCTGGAGACTAGAGTAGTAAGAAAGGTCTTAGTGGATAGGATTAGAGAGATAAGAAAGAAGCTAGCAGAGGAGATAATAGAGAAGATGGGTGAGATGGGTGAGGAAAGATGCCAAAGTAAGAGAACTGCCATATAGAGAGTACGGAGTCCCAGGCAAACACACAGGGAAACGTAAACCACGCTAAGGTACGACCCGGAAAACGTTCAGTTAATAAGTTATTAAGATAAGTAAGGAAAAATAGCTTAATATTAAAATCCTAGAAGCTTATTTTTAACATATTAATTATTACTAAAGCTTTAATTACTCTTATTATTATATAAAACTTATCTTATACTCTTACTAAATAACTAGAGTTTTATATTTTTTATTAAGTAGAGTATAGAAATGCTGCCGCCTGATTCGCCAACCACTAGCAGCGTCGTCCACATCATCTTCACGCATCTTGCCCACGTACTCTGATGCAACACATACTGTATAGGATTATTAGTTAATATTGGAAGCAACTGGATAGCCTAGGTTTTCGTGTAGATGTGTGCCGTGTAGGATTTCTTCCACTATTAAACCTCTAGGTGAGAATTCGGTCTTTTGCACCCTATCCCAAAATTTCTGCTACCTCGTTCCCTATCCAAAGAACATTCAACACAGATAATAAACTCCTGCCTCTCACTACACCCTTCAACATATTTTCATTAGATTTCTCTTTCACAATCTCCACAGTTTTCAAAAGGCTCCTCAACCCAACCAAGGTATCAACGCGACCTTTCTCCCTGTCCAACAAGACAAAAGAGTGTATTCAAGCTACCTATATGAACTTCTAATTTCCGTCGGTCTGACAGAGGATGAGAATCGGGATTTGAAGCCCATCGCCCAATCATTCGCCTAGAAAATATCATACTTAAAGTCATCTGCGAGCTCGTGCGACTTCGTCATCACACTTAGCGGCACCCAACTCCTAGTGCTTAGCCACTCCGTCTCAATTGGCAAATACTTGTCCCTCATTGACGATGGAGCCGAGCTTCTCCACAACGCAAAATTGCTTACAAAGCCGCTTGTTTTGGCCCAAAGGTTGTCGGTAGAACGCTTTGATAGCAACCTCCTCAGCGATCTAGCGTTCGACGGGCTGAAGGCGTCTACCAGCTGTTCCAACTCCAGGTAATAAGTGGGATATTCCATTTGCCTGACGGATATGTCATGTCGAGTGAGGAGAGCACGAGGACCAGGAGGAGGTGGAGAAGGACGTGGGGGAAATTCCCTCAGAACGAAAATCACATCCGCATCCGCACCACGCAGCAGGAATTCCTCGAAAATGAGCCAGATGGGGACAAGAAATTCCCTGGCTTTAGTCTCAGGGCAATCTGGTCCCCAACAGATGTCATGGAGGAAAGTGCGAAGGAAAACCAGCCAGATGGGCTTGGGAGGCTGGTCCTCGAGCATGGTGATTTCATCGCTTGGGACCACGCCCAAGTCGAACATTGCCTTGCAGAACTGGACATCTGGCTTGAGTTCTCTGGATTTGATGAGGAGGAATCGAGGCAGCTGCGCTCTATGTCCGTTGAGGAAAGCTTTCGATTTCAGCTTCGACATGATGTAGTTGGACTGGTTATAGAAGAGAGCACACCGGATGGGCGATATGCTCTCGGCTGTGTAGTAAAAATATCTCTGTGATCTTTCACGTTTTTTCCCGAGTTGAAATGGTTCCACGGATACATGGGCCCGCACCCCTAGATGGGCCTTTGAATTGAATGACATATTGGCTGCGTCCACAATCTCGCAAAATGCATCTAGAATGCGTGGCGCAATGACATAATCTGGGCACGTCCTTATCCAGAAGAAAGGTGTGTAAGGTGTGTAAAAGCTGCCCGCCAGATTCCGCGAAGGGGTGAACTTTTCAATGGCCAACCAGAGCCGCCAATATAGTTCAGGCTGCTCTGTTGAGAGCAGGTCTCCTCCTGAGGCACTTCTTCTCCAATCATCTTCATTCCTGAGGAAGTCTTTAACGGTTCGGTGCATGAAACCGACGGTGTACTTGGAGTAGGCATCAGTCGCATCTGTGGTCTGCATTTCCAGCAAGCCTTTGGTAAGTGCTGAAAGCTGACCTCGGACAATGCGTAGTCGTGTATCCACTTCTTCCTGCGAGAGAGGTTTCATTGGGGAAGAGAATGGGAATTCATCGTCTTGGAGATCTGGTAGCCAAGAATATGCAATAGCGGGGATGTTGTTGAAGAAGGGATCATTTATGGCAAGCAGAAGCATGTTTCTTGACCTGCCTTGCAGTGCGGGGTCGACGCTGCTCAGGATCTTTCTAAATAGATCGTTTAGCTCTCTCGGTGCGCTCCGCATTCGCTCTCTGAGTGTCTGGGTTGTATCTTCATGGACAATGCCGCTTAGAATGGATCTCATCACAAGGTAGGCCCAGAGGAATACCCCGTCGGACATCTGTACCATATCATCGACCAAACTTGTGTACTCCTCCAACTTATCTTCCGACCCGGATTCTATGAGCTCTCTATGAAGCTGGGAAATGAGGAACTTATGAATATCTCCCTTGGTGAGCTCGTGTAAGCGAACAAGTACGCGCGCGTCCGCAAACGCCTTCATGAGCTCCTCATGAGGTCGCGCAGAGCATATTATCTTGATGTCGCTAGAACTGGCCCAAGACTTGAACATGCGAGCCAGTTGGAGGTGCTCCAGGCTGTCACCTTCATACTCGTCCATACCGTCAAAGAAGAAGCAAAAGCGATTGCTCGGAAACTCCGTTGTGTTCGTCAAGATTTCCATAGCTGCTCTAAGCTCAACGATCCGGAACGGGCCCAGGAAATTATCATTGGTATGGTGAGCGTTGAACTCCTGTGGGAATAGTGTTGCAGCCATCTCAGGACACTGCTGCAGGATCTTAAACAGGATCGTCCTGTAAAAGCCTTCCAAGGACATCTGTAGCCGATCTCCAGAGTTCCAGAAGTAGAAGGGCGCAAACACCAGGGTCTTTTCTCCAGCCCATGACTCTGCGAGAGCTTTTACACGATCGTGGTCTCCCAGGAACTTCATCAAAGTGGATTTCCCAGAACCAGCTTTTCCGGAAATGAAGAAAATACCGTTGCCGTGCTCTATGAAAGACAGGAATGAGTTTGCGACGATCTCTCGCATATCCAATTCTGGTGATGGATCGGGACTGGAAGCTTGCACAATTGAAGACTCGTCCACTTGATCTTCCGAAGCCAATGATGGGTTCCGGCTCAGATGTTGTTCGCCCTCAGGAGGGGGGAAGGGTTCCTCGGTTTCTGGAGCCGATGGTGAGCTTTGGTTCGGATTTTCTTCACTTTCAGGAGCTGAAAAGGGTTCCGCTATATCTGTTCTAGAGTCATCTACTCCTTCGTCTTCATCTTCGCTATTTAATTGAGAGTCCGTCGCAACGCTTCCCGATGTTGAAGATCTAGATGATGCAGCATCTTGCTCTCCAAGCATCCATTTGAACGTACCGCTCTCGGCCATGCTGATGGTGTCTTCGCGCGAGTACATAGTATCAAAGTAGAGACGGCGAAGCACGGCATTCTCCCTTGGCAGCGCTCTCGCCCTGATCTCGATCTTCGCCATGATACCACCGAGTTCCGCGAGCAGTTGAGCGACAGCTGGATCACCGGTTATCTTCAAAGGCTCTGCCCGCAGCTGTTTGACACTGCTCGCAAGCTCTTTCCGGAGCTCCGAGATCTGCTCGGCGCTCTGGCTGGAAAGCTTGACGCCTTCTTGCTGGATTTTGTCAAGATGGTCTTTGATCGTCGATTGCTGGCCTCTGTCTGCATGTCAGCGCAATCGGCTCAAGGTCAGATAATGAACCACATACTGCATCATCAAGGAGAGGCGGAGGAGAAGCTCGATGCTGTATGCACTTAATCGCTTCTCAATCGAGGCCACTTCCTTCTCCTTCCTAATGCTCATTAACTTAACCTTCACACTCTCCCACTTAGAGTCATCCTTCGTCTTCAGCCTGCCCAGAATCTTCATGAGCTCGTCTGAGACGGTGTGACATTGCTTTGCCAGCCTGAGCAGCGCCTTCTCGTGCTTGTTGCTCCCCTTGAAGTCTGCTTCTAGGTCATCGGCTACTTCTTGGAGGTCGGATATTACATTGCTGATCTGCGCATTCTCGGAAGTGGTGCCGGTAGACGAGCGCTGGATCTCGTAGGCCCCTCGCACGAGGCAAGTGGAAAATTGGATGAACTGGAGGATGCTGGCCGCAAATCCGATTGCAGCGATGGGGTCCATGGCTACAGTGTCATGATCCGATGAGCAGAAAGATGTTACCCATGCCGCTGCGTCTGAAGCCGATGTAGTTAGGGAAGACGATGTCTCGAAACTTCCGGGTTCAGCTCAAGATGTTCGTCGGACACAGCCTCGCGCTGTTGCTGCCTGATCTACGGTAGGTTTTTGGGCGGTTAAGAATCAAAAGTTCTAACGAGCCTGATCGCATAAGTCTGTGCTTTTAGGGCATTTCGCTAAGGTTAACGATTGTTCACTGAAGAGAACTTTGACAATTCTAACTTTTTTCATAATTGCTTAGGATAAGGTTTCTAAACCCGATTTAACTTCTTTTATCTTATGCGCTCGAGTTTAAAGAAAATAGGGTTAGTAGTTCTTAAATAAATACAAGGTAAAGTCATCGACTTTGGTTTCGCGAGGCCTGGAAACATCGCTAAAAGCACAGACTTATGCGATCAGGCTCGTAAACGAGCAACCTGTGAACTGCGAAATTGCGAAAGTACTTAAATTTTGGTACACAACTATACCAAAATTAAGTACTTTCGCAAAAATTTATTTTCGAAATTTCTCTCTCTATATATAAAACCCCTAATTTGCTCAAAAACGGTCTGCGAAAGGATTCCTTTTAATAAAAAGAGGGGAAAGACGAAAGAAGGGATATAAAGAATTTTTTATCTATGCTCCCGCTTGATTAACCGAGATCCCTAGTCAATGCACACCCCAAGCGAATGCACACCCTTTTCCCACCAAAACCACCGATTTTTAGACCTTAACAATTAAGTAACTAATAATTAGATTAACTTTAAAATTTGTATATCATTAGTTTTATATATATTAAGTAAGATTATAGTATAAAGTTTACGTAATATTGTATATTGCGTATTTAATATTAAGCTTAAAGTTTATAAATTACCAGGATTTAATATTATTTAAATAAAATTATAAATAAGATTAAAAACTAAAAACTACTTAATTTTATAGTAATAATATAATTTAGTCAAGGCTTTTAGGAACTGGTTTTATTAATATATCCTTATAATAATAAAGTATATTTAAAATATAAATTTCTTTAAAAATATAATTAATACTTATATTATAGAGATTAATTTTAAAACTTTTAATAAAGACTTTTATTTTTATAATATAAAAAACGAATCTAAAAGAAGTACTTAATTTTATAAGAATTTATAATATATTTCGAAATTTTAAGTTTTAAAGTCGAATTTATATTTAAATTAATTATATTATATAAAATAAAAGAGTTTTTTTATAAAACAAAGTTTATAATATTATAAACTAGTATATAGAATATGAAATAAATTAATAATTTTATGAAAACCGGACTTATATATATTTTTATATTTAATAAAAACTTTTATATTATTTTTTACTAATAATATTATACTTATTATAAGGTTATATAAATATTTTATATATTAGAATAGTCACTTTTAGCTAGCTTTATATATGAAAGATTTATTTTAATTTTGATTATTTTTAGTTTTTAATTTAAGTTTCTTTTTTTAAAAAAGAAATCTTTAAATAAATTTTATATCTAATATATTATTTTATATAAAAATAATAGTATTAACTTATAGCTATATATAATGTAAAGTGAACTTATAAAAATGAAGTTAAAAGTATTTATATATATAAAGATATTAAGTTTTAAATTAAAGAATATAAGAATCTCAAAATTTTAAATGAAAGCTAATTTAAATAAATCTAAAATCTAAAAATAGCTACATATAATATATAAAAGAATACTCTAGCTTCTTCTCTTTTCAAATATAAAAAAATTATATTATTATTATTATTAGTTGTTTAGTAAATAACTATTTAATAATATAGGTTCGGCTAAAATCAGGGTGTGCATTCGCTTGGGGTGTGCATTGACTAGGGATCTCGGTTAGCTTAAATTGATAGCTCCTAATGGGTAGACCTTAATGTAGCCCCACTTTATCTGCGCGAGCTAGGTTGTAAGGAGAAAGCTAGCTTAGCGACCGGACAGATAAAAAACATTCTTTGCACCTCACGCTCATTCTTTCTTCTTTATTTTTTAATTAAAAAGAGATTATTTAATCAGAGAAGTAAAAGATTTTTATAATTTTTATAACGATACTTAGCTTTTACGCGATTCCGTACTTATTTTACGTGCAATTACGTATAAATTAAAGTACTATCGCAATTTCGCATTTCATAGTTTTCTCGTTCAGAACTTTGGGTCCTTAACCGCCGAAAAACCTACCGTAAACAGAGGCATTCCGCCGAAATTCTCAATTGTCTTATCCACGCCAGCAGTTTGATATTTCCCGCAATTATTTGACTTTGATACAAATTAGCAAGGTTCCCTAGAAAACAATCCAATGAGAAGCTCATGTAAAGCGGAGTGCCTCATAGTGAAGTTACTGTGGGGAATGCCCGCCGTGGCGTCGAGACATGGGATGATAGAGATCGCCAGGATGTGTGAATCTTGAACATTATATGCAATGCTGGCCTTGCTGTCCGGGCCTTTAGGCCACGAAGTATCATACCGTTTGCTTATTCCTCCGCATCATATTTTTGGCGCACCTTTCTTTGCTCGTCCCTTGCATTGCTCGGTGTTCGCAAGCTGGGCTATTGCAATTCATTCTTTCCATACCATCATTCTTCAATATGTTCTCTCGAGCAACTCTTTTTTTGCTATCGGCGGGGGCCTCTGCGTCACCGATGCTCTCGGGCACACTACTATCGTCGAATCACGGGAGCAATCTTGCCCAAACGTCTACGTATTCGGCGCAAGAGAGACCACAGTACCTCAATCAAATAGCTTCGGATCCTCAGGCCTTCTCGTTGACATGATCGTCGCTGCGAACCCAGGAGCACCAAGGAGCAAATAATCACCCAGCAACGGGTGGGAATATATATGGAAGTTCAGCAGAAGCGGGCGTTCTGGCTACAACGAACCAGGTCACCAATTTCTCAACTCAGTTCCCAGACACGTAGATTGTGTTGGTGGGATATTCACAGGTTGCACAGGTCATGGATAATGCTATGTGTGGAGTAGGTGATCCGGCTGAGCAGTTACTAACAGCACCGTTCCGATTTCCGCCGCAGTTGCGGCCCGAGTCAAAGCAGTTATTCTTATGGGAGATCCTCGTCATACTCTAGGAGCACCCTATAATGTTGGGAATTCGACGGACCTTGGAGTGAGTCGTTCACATTTAATGGTTTGTGTTGAATTGAGCTAATAATCCTAGTTTGCTCCTCGCCCAAGTGATCAGATTTGCACAGCAGTTGCCGAGATCATTCAAAGTTATTGCGACGCAGCGGATCTATTTTATAGTAAGGGCCAACAACGATCCAGCGGTACATCAAGAGTACCCAAAAGAATATGGCAGCCAAGCTTTGGCGTTTGTCCAGAGTAGGCTCGCCGGAGCGGGAGGGAATACGACTTCTTCAAGTTTGTCCCTACACCAAGGGCGTTGACTTCGGTCAAGAAGCCCCCAATAGTGCGTCAAGGTTGACAACGTCCGGAGATTGTGATATGATGTATCTGTTAATACTGCGATGGAGTTTCCATCAAACGGAAAACATGAATATTAATATTACCAAATTCTTTAGCTTTGACCGATTGGATTCTATCCGCCGTCCCCCACTTGGAAGGGATCATAACGAAAAGGTGAATTAATTGATGTATGTGCAGCCGTGCTAAGAATTGAGAGCGACCATACCAGGAAATGGCTGAAGAGTGCTGCGGAGTCAAATTACTTTGATCGCATTTTCCATCTGAATGATTTGATAAGATGGTTGACTAAGGTTAACCGTAATGAGATATGCCCGGAAAGATTCACTACTTGCTGAGCTCCTGAATGCGACCCGCTTTGTGAATATCACGATAATTTCGCCATTCCTCTCCGGCCTTTTTCTAGCTAATTTAGATATTGATATAAACCTGCCGTTCATTGAAAGATCAATTCGAAGACGTAGCGATTGTAAGAGAGCATGCCCAATGCTGATTGACTCAAGGGACCTGGCCACAGCTAGTACACATAGTAGGTGACAGCAGGCGGGGTAAGCCACGTGAATCCGTGACTTCTATCCCGGTGAGCAGCGCACCAAATTAACCTGTGTGCTCCGCCAGGTCAGTTATCGAGTGCGGATAAAGACCCACCAGGTTGTTTCTGCCTGATTATTGACTTAAAGAAAATTGACTTTTTAACCTCAAGACAGAACCAGTTCCATAACGATTTTATAACAATTTAGACAAAGTTTAGAAACGCTTTGGTTAGGAGGCTAGGGTTGGTCCCGAGCCCGCGAGGGTGGCTCGGATTAATTAGGGTTCGCCTGGGGTCCGTGGGGCGGTTGACCCCCCCGCTTGGGAACACTTTAGAAATGGTTTTGATATAGTTAGAAAACAGTATTTGGGTTACTTACTATAAAGATATAATTAATGCTTAGCGAACGGGACACAGCTTTACTGCGTCCCGTTCGCTGTGCTACATAGACGGGAAGTTGATGCCTGACGAAAATTCCACCTGGTCACTTTGAAAATGGTTTACTTTGAATCCCTGCAATCTCACCCGGTGGAACACACAGGTTAACCTGCTGCGCTGCAGACTCCACTTATCCAAGACTTTTCACGATCCTTCGCCTTCCAAATCTCTCACGATCATCAACCAATACTTCTACGAAAGAGAGTCTCTCCAGCATTACCACGCCAATTCCTCTTATTCACTTATGGCTACCGAACAGCCCCGCCACGACTCCTCCGGCAGCAAAGATGAGGCCTTCACTGCCGTTTGCCACTGCGGTCGCGTTCGAGTTGAACTGCCTTCCAAACCCACCTCACTCCTCGAGTGCCACTGCACTGTCTGCTACAAATACGGCGCTCTATGGGCCTACTTTCAACGCAATGATGTGGTAGTGACAACGGCGAGCGATACCACACTCCAAGCTTACATCCGCGAGGACGCCGACTGCGGCCTTTCGTTCAATCGGTGCGGCCACTGCGGATGTATGATGTTCTGGCGTGGTGAAAGAACATATGCAGAAGGACCTTATGCAGGGCTGGAGCACAAGATGGGCGTGAACTGTCGTATGTTGCCTAAAGGTGAGATTGAGGGAATTGCGAAGAGGGTTACCAAAGGACCTGGGAATTAGATCCGAAAAGTCTGATGGATTATATGAGTTTGAATTCTATGGGGCTTCGGTTTGGTTAACTTTTGGCGTCCTCTGTGTTAGTTGGTATGAATTGTGTATCGATCTTTTGGTTCAAGAATCAAAATACGATCCGGACATTCGTTTCGGGTTTCAATTCGGGAGTCTTTCTCATATCTCCTTCTCAACTTCGGTGATCTTTGTTGCTCAAAGGCTACTATGTCTCACTTGCCCACATCGATTTCACCGAGAAAAGCAACAGCTATAAAAGATATCAGATGAATGCAGAAATACCATTCGAAGCGTCTTAAAGGTCAGTCCCGCACGTAGTTCCGAGTGGGAATAAGGTCTCGCTACTTTCTTAGTCCTTCACAATATGTTCTCGCGACTCTCTCGCGACCAACGGATCCGAGCTGGAAGGAATACTATACGAAGATTCGCCGTCCGGTAAGCAATTATTCCCCGGAGCCATCTCAGGACCTGAACTTCACCCCGACGATACAACTCAGTGGTTAACTCCGCGATGAGATACAGTAAGCTCTACTTATTGTGGTTCGTCGCGCTGTTGCCCCAGTTCTTCAATCCAAGCGACCAATCCGCGTAACATTGTCGACCCCAGGTTGCATTTGCCTCACTCACTGTAATACTGTACATTAAACAACCTCACCGAGATAAATACTAAACAGCATGGCTCAATACTTGGTATGTAATAAGTAGAACATTTCCTCAGTTACCAAGGTTCACAAGCCATCAGATTTTGCTTCGATAACTGTAAAGCTGAAAGGACCACGACACAATACTCTCTTCTCATGATGATTTGGGCAATCCTCTTATTGCTTCAATTGTGCATTGCACACCCATTTCAACCAGAACAATGCTTTCCTCCAACCATCCGTCAGCTTTGCGAATTTCCGAATATCACCTGAATGGAGAACATCGCGGTTCGTTCCAACGCACAGCACCTGGTTACACTCATCATTTCGCCTAATCTATATCAAATAGACCCCTTCTATCAAAACCCCATCCCAAAATTAGTCGCACAATTCCCAGAAGCTCTCGGAATCCTCCGGATTGCAGAGATCGAAAGGAGATGCCTGCGCCATCACCAAAGGTAATTTCTCCCGCTTCACGGCCGTCGCTAACCAAAAATCGTTCTCAGTCTAGAAACCGGATTTCCGCCATGATGGCACGGCAGTGGTATCCAAGATTGTGGATATCCCAGACGTCATTATCTTGAGTAGAGCAACTGTCGTCTAGAAGGAAAGCAAATTCACCCTCTTAGAGTGATCTGGCGCCTCAATCTGGGGACTTCGATATACGATGTCGTGCTTAATGATACTGCCACGCAGCCTGACCCTACGTTGACTGCGCTTGTGGGTGGCATCTCCTTCGGTGTCAATGGCGTGCATACCAGGGAAGGATTTCTATACTTCACGATTACGGAATTGGGTTTTTTTCCGTGTGTAAATTTATCATGATTGGATTCCCGCAGGGACTTTACGTTTGATGGCGTGGGTGATGCATATATTGCGAGAGGGAGAGTTGATCTTATCCGAAAGATTACACCCGCAGGAAAGGTGGTTTCTCTGGATTATGAAAATCTCGATACGCTGGTACTCATTGAGGGGAATACAGCGGCGAAATTTGGGAGGACGAAGAGTGATCGGAGGATGTTGTATGTTACAACAAATGGTGGGCACACTAGGTTGGTTAATAGAACTGATGTCCAGGGTGGCAGGGTTTTGGCTATTGATCTTGGGGGAGGGTCTTAGTGGTGTCTATTGTTCCTGCTCTCGCTGGTTGAATCCTGATTTTCACTTCTGTAATTTATTTTAGTTTATAATTCATATTATCCATATTAAGACACAATATTCTGCTCTCTCAAAGATATTCAAAATAATGTCTGCGTGTTGTGATTCCGGTGACAGCTCGCAGTCTAGGTCTGACAAGTCAGACTCTTGCCCACCTATCGCAAGACCGCTTTTGAGGGTACAATTAAAAGATGAAATCCCAGAACGACAAAAAAAAGCGAAGTCCGCCTCCAAAGTATTAGTAGTGCGCAAATATTTATCGACGCGCAGATGAAATTTCGATATGTAGGGGGGTCAAAGTAGTTTGAGAACGCGCTAAAATTGTACCTCTCAATAGCCGAGTTCAGGGGTTCGCTAAGTGGTTCGGGAAGCCCCCTTTTCAATACCTTCCCCTCAAATATTTCCAAATTATAACTTCCTGCCTTGACAGGTGCTCAGGACCTGGTTACGTTCTGCCTTCAGATGAGACCAAGAATAGGTCACCATGATTATCGAATGGCTAAAATGCTGCACATAAAAATTGGCAAGCGATACTGCAATGCAACATGCAAGAAGGCGATCGCTTTCTCAAGCCAAGCCACCTATCTTCGGAGGCTATGTTCAAATATATGGATAATATAAGGAACTGGCATGGGAGTACATGAGTAGTGTGTAGAATTAGAGCACCTCATAGGCGGTTTATTGGAGGGGACGGAACTTGGCGTAGACCTTGTAGGCGAGAACGAGAAAAGCTACAGGGTGTCCCAGTTCGTCCTGCACTCCCGGGCTTGCGACCAACGCCACGGTATCACGTGGTCTAAGGCTTTAAAAATCTGACCGCTCATTTGCTTCTCTGCTACGAGAAAATCCCTGTATGCTACTTGATAATTCCAAACAGGAAGGTGTTTATCACCCATCTTCCAAGCTGAGGATAAGGCGCTAAATCGCCCTATAGTAATCTCGCCAAGCCTGCCATGCAGCCACCTCAATATGCCTGAATATAGCCTGAAAGCCATTTGAGATACACAATTCGCATTTTGCTCTATCTGCCTCCTAGGTGCATACTTGACAAAGTCAGTCTCGGCGTAAATAAGGTTTTCCGACTGTGTTTGGCCGACGCCATGACCTGAGGTGGGTATATAGTTATTGCAGCTTTGGTGCATCTGCAGCGTTTGTGGATTTTCTCAATCTTTGACAAGCCGTCAACGAACCAGCTAGTTTACGAGAAGAGTACGCAAGAAAACATCATGGCTTCTCCCAATGAACCCGCAGACCCTATCGCCAAGGGTGTCATTCCTACCGCAAAGCAAAACTTGTCTGATCTACTGAAATGGAAGCAGAGAGTTGAAGTTACGAATGACTATGGGGAGTCGAGCTGCGAATGGCAAACCCCCGAGCCACTCAAGAATCCCATTAGTCTTTTTGCACAGCTGCGTGCGAGAGATGTAAGTTCCATGGAATGAAAGACTAATTCACAGAGTCTTGCCAGTATATTATACTAACAACCGATAGTGGGTCTTCTTCATCTGTGGTCTGCTTGCCTGGACAGCCGATGCTTTCGATTTTCACGCCCTCTCCATCCAAACTGTAAAATTCGCCACCTACTACAAAACAACCAACACGAACATCACCACGGCCTTAACTCTAACCCTCCTCCTGAGGTCGGTTGGCGCCGCTTTCTTCGGTCTAGCAGGTGACAGGTTTGGGCGCAAATGGCCCATGGTCGTCAATATGTTCGCCGTGGGTCTCTTGCAGATTGCGACTATTTACAGCCGTAATTTCCACCAGTTTTTGGCAGTAAGAAGCCTGTTTGGGCTGTTTATGGGAGGAGTGTATGGGAATGCAATCGCAATGGCGCTCGAGCATTGTCCTGTTAATGCCCGAGGGCTGATGTCTGGAATTTTGCAGCAAGGCTATTCTCTTGGGTACGTGCTGGCGGCATCGGCGAATTTGGGGGTTGGAGGAAGCACCAATTCCTGGAAGGTAAGCGAACTCCTTCCTTTGATAATTGATGTGTGTTGATTATTGTAGAAAGTATTCTGGATCGGTGCCGGATTGTCTATTGGGGTTGGAATTATTCGGATCTTCTTTCCGGAAAGTAGACAATTTCTCGAGGCGAAGAAAAATGGGCAAAAGAAAATTACTGCTCATGCGTTCTGGAGAGACACTAGGGGCATGCTTGCGCAAGAGTGGAAGATCTGTGTCTACTGCGTGATTATGATGACTTGGTTCAACTTCTATAGGTAAGTTATTAAGGGCTTCACTCTGCTACGAAAAGTACTTACTATCCAAGCCATACTTCCCAAGATTCCTACACTACCTTTATGCTCCAATCTAAAGGGCTGAAGAACGCCGCCGCAAGTCGTGCTAGTATCTGGATGAAAACAGGATCCATTTTCGGGGGCTTCACCATCGGATACTTGTCTCAATTCTTCGGTCGTCGCCGTGCCATTATCACTTCAGCAATTATATCCTGCTTTCTCATCCCTGCTTGGATCCTTCCCAAAAGCGAGGTATCACTCTCTGCCTCGGGATTCATGCTTCAATTCTTTGTACAAGGTGCCTGGGGAATCATTCCCATCCACTTAAACGAACTCTCTCCTCCTGCTTTCCGTTCCTCTTTCCCGGGTCTCACGTACCAGCTGGGAAATATGATTTCATCCCCAAGCACGCAAATTGTCAATGCAATCGCAGAAAAGAATTTCGTGCATGATGCAGGAGGCAAACATGTTAAGGCTTACGGACCGGTCATGGGCGTTGCTACCACTATTATTGCTGTTGGCATTGCGTGTACGGTCGCTGTGGGACCTGAGAAGAGGGGACGAAAGTTTGAGGAAGCTCCAATCGCAGGAGTCGGGGCGATAATTCCGCCAAAGGATATCGAGATGGCGGATGAGGTGGGTGAGAAGACAACATCTACGGAGAACGCTGTTGAGATAAGAGAGAGGTCGCCGTAGATTGTCTATTTTGGTCGATTCACGTGCAGTCGGATCAGAACGTTTAAAGTTTGAAGTTTCAGACAAGGAAGTAAGCAGTATCTTCTTTCAAGGAAAATCAAGTTCTCATGGTCTGCTATCAAGTCATTAATGCAGCTTTGCTCGAGATATTTATCAAAACAAGGCCATCTTGCCCAACCAGACATCAGCAGCACAGCCGTCAAAATCATGTATGCATGAGAAACAACCAGAAGCTGCATATAACTTTTCAAATTGTTGCGGTAATGAGTACAAGGAAAGCTCAAAATTCAAACCTGCGGAAGATAGAACAAGGGAAGATTCTGCTACAAATCCCAATTAATCACGGGACACTTCAGTTCAAACTACTCTTGGAGACAGTAAAGCCTCTCCGCTTCCTTGGTCTTTGCATCAAACTTCACATTATAGCTGCTCTGTTGGTCTGAGCATCGGTGCTTTTTTTCCCCCCCAACAATTGGATGGCCTACTTCTGCAGTGTTCCAATGAACGATCACCCATCCTTTGTCTGGAGGACATCGTCACTCGCAAAATGGGTCAGTCTGCTTAAGTGTTTCCCTCGTATCGCAGAATTGTGAGACCCTTAACTGTTGGTGATACGAGTTTGTGGCATTCCTCCGAAAGTAGCATTTTCTGCGATGTTCTTTCCCAAAAGTCCCTGAACATTTCTGTCAGCCATTAAATATGTGCAATAGTTCTACCCATTGCAAAGCTGCTTACCTTATCTTAGATATAGATTGAAACGTATTGTCCTCTGATATTTATGTGTAAGAAGTCAGAAATGTGTTCGCAGGTATATAGTGGAATAGATAGATACAATATGTGAATACCCCTATTGACCCCTACCAAATCCCTGTCCAGCTCGCAGAGCATTCCCAAATCTAGATTATCCGCCCAAAGTAGTAATAACTAGAGGTCAATACTCTTTTGGTTATATGCTAGAGACCTTCCCCCGCTCTCAAGAAGGCTAATTTTGTAATTTTATCGTAAAATAAGGCTTCTTTTTTCAGCTACTTTTTAGCCCCCGGCACGCGCACATAAGGCGAGCAAGAAGTACGTCCCTCACTTGCCCTTACAACCCTTAAGAAGTATATCTTCAAGGCACGCGTATCTCGGCTTGCTCGGGAATGTGAATGTAAGATTATCACCGCAAAAAAAACGCTGCCGCACCTGTGCCCCAGATGCGGCTAGTACGCATATTCCTTACTGCCCGAGTAAAGCGTATGCCCGATTACAAGGCCCCTTTAATTAATTATTATAATAATAACAAGTATTTTTCTTATAGAAAAAGTTAGTAGAGTTATAATATAATATACTAATAGTGGCTCCTTATTCTCTATTTAAGGAAATACCTTATTACGGGCAAGTTATCTCAAATAAGAATAATAAACTATTACTTATCCTACTAGTAATAATATTTTTTTTGCCCTATAAAAACTAAACTTTTAATATTTATAAGATAAAATAAATACTACTACTTGCAGTAGTATTTTTAAAAAAAATTAGAGATAGTTTCCTTATTTAGAATAAGTAATTTGGGTAATAAAAGAGAGAGGCTAACTAATAAGAATATAAATTACTTACTAATTAATTACCTATTAAGTAATCTCCTTACTTCCTTTATTACTATATTACTAGAAAATATTTATTATATTCGGAAATAGCTTATATTACTAGAAAATACTTATTATATTCGGAAATAGCCTATATTAATAGGAAATATATATTATATTCGGGAATAGCTTATATTACTAAAAAATATATATTATATTCGGAAATAGCCTATATTAGTAAGAAATATATATTATATTCGGGAATAGCCTATATTACTAAGAAATATATATTATATTCGGAAATAGTCTATATTACTAGAGAATATATATTATATTTGAGAATAGCCTATATTACTAGAAAATACTTATTATATTCGGGAATAGCTTATACTATTAGAAAATAAGCTAGAAAAAATTCTTTAGTTACTTTTATTTATTTATATAACTTATAATTAAAAATATACTTGAGACTTTAGAACTAAATTAGCTAACTATATAAATCAAGTATAGTTTAATAATTATTAATATACTTTAGCTTTATAAATTAATAAGATTAAGAATATTTATAATTATAATATCTAAAATTATAATTTTCTTTATATCTAAACTTATCTAATTTAGGGCTATTTAATACTAATATTTTTATTTTCAGAATATTTTTTATTATAAAGTTATTCGGTTTTAAATAATTATATTAAATATATATTTTTATATCTAAGAAGTAAATAATAAAAATATAGTTATACTAGTTATAACCTTAACCTTAATTTTAACTTCTTTTAAAAAAATAACTTTAATTTCAATATATAATACTACTATTATTAAATACTTTCCTTTATTAAAAATATATTAAATATAGCTTTAGATAATAGCTCTAGTAAAGATAATAAAAGTATAAATAAGCGAAAAAATAATATTTATAATATATTTTCTAATAACCCAGATTTAATTTATAATATTCTTTTTTATTAATATATTTAACTAATAAATTCTTTTACTTCTTAATTTCTGCTTTATATATATTCTTCTCCTTTTATTATTTCTTTATAATAATACTTTAATCTTTTAATACTATCTAATAATACTACTAATATAATAAAGCAAATTAATAATAAAGCTAAAATTAGAAAGATTAAGTTATACTAAAATAACAAGTTAAAGAAATTAGAGAAAAGTAAGGCAAATCTAAAGGCAAGCTTAATATATATTTATAATACTAAACTTTCCTAAGCTTATACTACTTATAATAATAAAAAGAGACCAAAAAGTTCTTTTAAATACTATATAATTATAGAAAATAAATTTAATAATACTTATATAAATTATAGATATAATAATAATAATAAAGTCTATACTTTCTATTAACTTAATACTAATTTTATAAAGTCTAGAAAGCCTTATTTAGTATCTATAAAACTTTTTATATTAAAGCCTTAATTGTTTATAAAATATAAAAAAAGAATATAAAAACAGATATAAGATTAAAAAATAAAAAATAAAAATAAAGGAAAGAAAATAATAGAAAAAATATAAATAATAAATAAAATATATCTTATAATCTATAAAACTTGCCTTATAAATTATATAAGCTAAAAAAAAATTAATAGTATTTAAGAATAAAAAATATATATATATAATATTTTAATAATACTCTTATAATAGAAATAAATATAAATACCAGTATTTATTTTAATTATAAATAGCTTTCTTTTAGCTATTTTTTATAAATTATATAAATATAATAATAGATAATAATAAAAAGGCCTTAATTTTAATAAAGTAATATATATAAAACAGAATACTATAATAACTAGAGATTTCTATTAAAATATAATATATTATATATTTATAGCTTTCTATAACTTCTTTATTTATATAAAGCTAATTTCAAATATTATTTATTTATTTCTAATATTATATTATACTATTTCTAATAAAGAAATACAAGAAGTTTAGTATAATTACTTATTTATAAAAAGAAATTAATTCTGGTTATATACTAGAAAAGGCTCATATTTTATCTAAAAACCTTATAAATACTAATATTTATACTTTTTAAAAAAAGCTATAACTTTTATAATAGGCTAATTTCTATAAACTAATTCCCTAGTAAAAAACCGAATATTATATTCTATTTCTTTAAATATATACTTAGTATTAAATAAGAAAGAAAACCAGTTCCTATAAAAGCTTTTCTAATTCAGCTAGTAAAAATTCTCGGAAATATTAAGCCTCTTATTAAATTATTTAATATTACTAAGAAATCTCTAGTTATTTAAATAGAAAACCTTATTAGAATTAAGCTATTTACTAAATATCTCAGTATTACCGAGAAATCTTTAAAATTATAGAGTATTTTAACTAAATCCCTTAATAATAATAAGCTTTTAGCTATTACTAGAATCTTAACTTTCTTAGAAAAGTTTAAGCTTAATTCTAGAGAAATCTTAGTAGTATTAAAGTAATTAAAGGCTATTAGCTTCTAGGCTTCTTCTCTTATCTTTAACTTTCTTAGTAATAATAAGAGATTAAAGTCAATTTCATGGCTTTTAGTATCTATTTCTTCTTTAATAACTTATTAAAATATATTAAAACTAAAAAACCTTATATATAATTAGAAGTTTAGAAAAACAATTATTATTAATAAGTATTTTATTTCTTTATAATTCTAGTAAACTATATATAAGAATCATTTCCTATTAATATAGAAGCTAATTAAAAATATTTGAAATATATAAAAAATAAAAAATTCTAGTTTCTAAAAAATTCCTTATTACTAATAAATATTCTTAGTTTATATTCTTTTTATATATTTTATATAATTGAGATTAAAGTATTTTTAGAAAGAAATATAAAGAATATAAATTAGTATTAATACTTTTAAATACTATATAGAAAACCCGAACTTTCTTTAATAAAAAGAATACTAATAAAATAAGAAAAAAAAAGAATTTTAGTATCTTTTATCTTATATATAATAAAAATAATAAATAGTATTCTCTAATAAAAAAAGAAATTAATATAACTTATTAATAATAAGCTTAATATAATAAAGAGGCTTATTAGTAATATAGTTTTATATAAAGTTTAGTTAATAATAAGAAATTGAAATTATTCTATATCTCTCTTTTATATTATATTTTCTTACTATTTATAAGCTATTTATATAGCTTTAGAAATATCTAGTAATAATAAACTATTTATTTATTTAAATTATTTATTCTAAAAATAGCTTATTTAGAAAATAGTTATATATTTTTTATTAGTAATAAAGATTAGACTATTCTCGAATATAATAAGTATTTTCTAATAATATATATTTAGCCTAAATATAATATATATTTCTTACTAATATAGGCTAGTTTTAAATATAATAAGTATTTTCTAATAAAATAGGCTTTTTTAAATATAATATATATTTCCTACTAATATAGGCTAGTTTTAAATATAATAAGTATTTTCTAGTAATATAGGCTTTTTCAAATATAATATATATTTCCTACTAATATAGGCTAGTTTTAAATATAATAAGTATTTTC